TGAGTCTGCAGTCTGAACACGTTACCTCAGGACGTACGTTAACTGAATTAATTGAGAATCCCAGCTAAAAATTCGATAACATTAGCAATTTTCATCCATGCAGCTGATTTCTGTAAATGAATGTAAAAACTAAATGTATCTTGCAGCACAGGGTGAAGCCAGTATGTAAATTAACGATGATTTGAGACAAATATAATGTAAATTGAATATAAAACTATGTAAAAGGCGCCCTGTGGCACGGCAGGATTTTGAACAGTGTCCTGAGCCGTAGCTAGGTACCGCTGCACTTCTCGTCCGGTGTGCGACTCCCTTTAGACACCTCACCCCTCCATGACACCCTGAAGGACCAACTTGAGAGGTAAGACTGGAACCATTGGAGTGTGGTTCCTGAGATGCCCTTTGTCATGAGGGTTGATAGGAGGATCAGGTGGTTAACCATGTCAAAAACAGCAGACAGATCCAGCAAGAGTACTGAGGATTTGGAAGCTGGTCTTGCCAGTCTGAGAGCTTCAATAACCGAGAACTGTGTAAGAAAGGTAGAGACTTCATTAAACATGAACACGGTTTCTTAAGCAGTGGGGTTATCCAAGCCTGCTTAAATGCTGTGGGAAAGGTTCCAGTGTGAAAAGAGATGTTGACGATGTGAGTGAGTGCAGGTACAACTGAAGAAGAAATGGCTTGAAGGAGATGAGTGGGAATAGGATCAAGCGTACAGGTAGTAAGGTGATTGGAAAGGATGAGAGACTTCTGCCTCCGAGAGCGGCGAGATGGAGGGGAGAATGTGTGTGTTTGCCGTTAAGGTGTGAGTCAGTTTGTAGTGTAGAAATTTGGCTGCTGATGGTTGTTGTTTTATTTATGAAGAATGTGGAAAAGTTGTCGGCTGTTGGGGTTGATGAAGGAGAGGGAGGATTAAGAAGAGAGTAGAAGGTTTTGAAAAGCGTGCGAGAGTCAGAAGAATTGCTCATTTTGTTGTGGTAGTATGTCATTTTAGCAGTAGAGACATTAGCAGAGAAGAAAGAGAGGAGGGATTGATACAAACCAAGGTCAGTGGGATTTTTCAATTTGTGCCACTTCCTCTCTTCAGCCCTGAGTTTAGAACAATGTTCGCGGAGAACATCAGACAGCCAGGGAGCAAAGAGGATGGCGCAGGATGGCCTGGATGAAAAGGGGCAGAAGTTGTCTAAGCAAGATGTTAGAGTGGAGAAAAGAGCATCAGTAGCACTGTTAGTATCTCGTGATGAGAGCTGATTATAGAGAGGAAGTGTGGATGAGACCAAAGAGGATAGGCGGGAGGGTGAGAGTGAGCATAGGTTATGCCGAAAGGTGACGTGGAGGAGTGCGTGCTGTGTCATGAGCCAGGTTGAGTTTAAGAGTGAGGAGGAAGTGATCTGAGGTGTGTACTGCAGTGGAGTAACCAGCAGCTAGTCAGTGGAGCAGTAGAGCATTTAAATAAGGTCCACCTTATTTGTGAGTAGCCACAGTAGACACTCGCTTGAGGTCAAACGAGGCAAGTAGAGTGTGGAAGTTAGCAGCCAGGTTATCAGGTGATTATCAAGTTGTGCCCTAAAGATTTACCATCCACTGCATCTTGATGTGCCGCTATGACAGCCACATACACGTTCAAGGTGGAAGGGGACATCTGGCCCTCCAACTTCTCCTGCAGTTAGGAAAGCACTGAATCAACTGCGCATCTCTGTGGGTCTTTCCCTCTGGAATCAGACAAGTTAGTAAACCGACTCGGCCAGACATGGAGATTCCAGAGGTCTGGGTGCGGGTGCCAGATTGTGCCCCATCCCAGATAAAGAAGGTCCTTCCTCAGGGGGATTCACAGGGAGGGGCTGTAGCAAGGAGCATGCACTTCGAAAACCAAGTCCGGGTGGGCCAGTACAGAACAACCATCAAGACCTGGGGTCAGTTGCATAAACTGCTAAGACTAGTCTTACAAGCTTTAGTCATACATTTTTTTTAAGTCAGTTACATAAAAATGTAGATTAGTCTAATTTGATACCGAAAAGTAACACTGATTATCCCTAACTAACTGCTAGTTGGTCATATTAGTTCTTAAGACACAGTCTTAAAGGGATACTCCACTTTTTTTGGAAATAGGCTTATTTTACAACTTCCCCAGAGTTAAACTGTTGAGTTTTACCGTTTTTGAATCCATTCAGCCGATCTCCGGTTCTGGCGGTACCACTTTTAGCATAGCTTAGCATACATCATTGAAGTGGACAAGACCATTAGCATTTCTCAAAAAAAAATGACCAAAGAGTTTCGATATTTTTCCTATTTAAAACTTGACTCTTCTGTAGTTACATCGTGCACTAAGACCGACGGAAAATGTAAAGTTGCGATTTTCTAGGCTGATATGGCTAGGAACTATACTCTCATTCCTGCGTAGTAATCAAGAAACTTTACTGCCGTACCATGAGTGCAGCAGGCGCAATGATATGACGCAGCGCCTGAAAATAGTCCCCAGCTCGGTAACTTCCAACGTGACCGGGACTAAGTGCCTGCGCCTGCTGCACTCATGGTACGGCAGTAAAGTTTCTTGATTACTACGCAGGAATGAGAGTTTAGTTCCTAGCCATATCAGCCGATGTAACTACAGAAGAGTCAAGTTTTAAATAGGAAAAATATCGAAACTCTTTGGTCATTTTTTTTGAGAAATGCTAATGGTCTTGTCCACTTCAATGATGTATGCTAAGCTATGCTAAAAGTGGTACCGCCAGAACCGGAGATCGGCTGAATGGATTCAAAAACGGTAAAACTCAACAGTTTAACTCTGGGGGAGTTGTAAAATAAGCCTATTTGCAAAAAAAGTGGAGTATCCCTTTAACATAATGGCTGTTTATGCAACTGGCCCCTGTACTTCGTCCTCCCAGCTTTGGCCAAAACATTCCTAGAATGTTCTTATTCAGTTCCCAAAAAATAACTGGGACTAAATAAGTTGTAAATTATCTCTATTGACAGCTGATGATAAAGATTCCAAGATTTTAAAATCAGAATGAAATGGATCTGTTTTCTAAATGCATTGATCTTATTGTCAATTTATCCATGTAAACATTTAATTGTTTGTGACCTCAAATTTTTCATCAAAAAGGCATATCTTGGCAAAAAAAACTACAGACTTTTCTCTTGTGAAGAATTCCAGGCAGGGATGGAAATTAACTTTTTTGTCCACCGGCCACTGTGGCTGGTGGATTTCAAAATCTACCAGCCACTCAATGTTTTTACCAGCCACTTTCTTGTTTTTAACCGACAATGTGTAACTGCATGTGAAAATGAATACTACAAGAATACTTAAGCAGTTTATTTAATCTCAAGTCTCAATGAAATACTGACATTTTCTCTTTCTCTCACCCTCGGCCTCATCCACCTAATCTGTCATTAATTTTTGATTTGATGATAAATTGAGCCAGCCTCCAAAAGTAATTAACCTGTCCTGTGATTTTTTTTTTCTCCCACACAACACTCTCCACTCCAGACACGGATTTATGAGCTATAGTCTGTTGGTTGCCTTTACATTAGAATAATATTTAATATAATCTAGATATGAAATGGAATAAATAGCATTCAATACAAAATGAATATGTCTCATATATTGAAATCAAGTTTTATGTGATAAAATATTTGCTTTGTTGTGCATTAGAACCACATCAGGCATTTAGAACAAAATAATTTATTGAAGCATCCAGATACTTCACCACGTGACAGCAGCTAGGCTCCTGATTGGTTAACGTGGCGCGAATTGACGCCAAAGTTCAGATTTTTCAACTCGGGCGGCAGACGCGAATTCGCGTCAAACGCGTGAATGCACAAAAGCACTCAATAAAATCATGCGCGTGGAACGCGTAGACGCTCGAACTTGCCGCGCGAATGAGGCGTATTCGCATCTACCACGGCGCGCTCTACACCTCATTCGCGCCGCAGGAATTTTTTACGCGTGTAACGCGTCTTTGCATTGACTTAACAATGACATCACTCGCGCCAGACGCTCTATTCTCGTCTAGTGTGAACGCACCATGATGTTTTCTCTGCAGACCTCTACGCCTGTGATGTAACGCCACATTTTTGTTTGAAGGTGTGCCTCCTCTAAAAGTGTCCGCCGTCCGGGTGAAACAGTATGCTATTTTTATTTACCCGCCACCACGGTGGCCGGTAGGTGAAGCGAGTTTACCCGCCACAACACAAAATCACCCGCATTTGGCTGGTGGCGGGTGCTAATTTCCATCCCTGATTCCAGGCTTTTCAAATAATTCAGTCTGCTAAAACCGTCCCTTTCTTACAATCGAACTCAAGCTTACATTCAGAACTGCCTCCATCCAATCAACAACCAATGGATAGAACCAAATTTGCACCTTACATTTTTCTTTTTCGATTATCTGTTACATTCTTATGCACATCATCACAATACAGAAGAAAAGATTTCACTACTTCCATTTTATCGCAACTTTAATATAAAACGCACAGAGTTAATTTCTTTTAAATTAAAGGTTTAATGAATCTTTTGAAATATTACATGTCAATTGTATGTGATAGCATAATATTATTTACAAAGCAAATATATATTATTTACAAAGCAAATATATATATGTGCTATGGTGTGTGAACAAGCTGTTCAAGTAAAGCGTAAAGCTTTCAGGTCAGGTGGGTATTTCTACAAAGCTAAAAAATCTGTCTATATATATATATATATATATGTTAAAGCCTTTGGGGTGGAAACAAACTCTAATAACCAGTAAATAAATAATCAAAATGCAAAGTGGAAAATGGGTAAATGTATACTTAAGAAAGTTTAAGCAGGCAGAGAGAAGTATACCAGTATGTTTCAGGCAACATACAAATATTTTACATAATGTAATGTTTTGTGCAATACTCACATAAACACTCACACATACATGAAGTGTTCCCAAACCATTCATGATCGATGTTTACAGTACTGCTCACAGCCTGTGTCACAGCACACACGATGACCAAATACTGAAGCAACATTTGCAAAATTCGAAGGCAAATTCAAATCAAATTTATAATATCTGTAGCCCAACCTATCATAAAGTTAACGCACACTCAGAGTTTAGAGCCCAAACATGTTTTCTTCAGTGATAGATACTTAATGCACTTGGAACATACAATTTCATTGTTCTGTTTCCAAACTATTCATGAGGTTCAGTTATAATGATGTTGGACTGTACGGCCAATCACTAGGAAGAGAAGACCAGACAGAAGACAGAAGAACACGCCCACTGGAGCAAACATGAAAGATAGGCCATAAGTCACATTGAGCTCAAACTCTGAGCACTTCTTTGACTGATATTCCTTATACGAGCTCATGACATCCAAAATATCTATCCAGATAACATACATCACAGTGACAGCGAGAAGGAAGAAACCTGGAGAAAAGAGACAGCATTGAGAGTTGGAGAAATAAAAAGTAACATGAAAGAGAGAGAGATAGTGTAAAGATAAATTAAATGTTCGTGAAATCTGTAATGCATTTTTCAGTACTGCACATGTCCAAGTGAGGAAGAGATACACCTTACCTCCTCATGACATCTTTAACTTACCAGAAATGAGGTAGAGTCCACCCCCTACTTTATAAAGGTGATGACTAGCAAATGGAGCTGCGCAAATGATAATGAAACCGCCAGCCACCACAGCGGCCACACCCACCAACATGGAGACGCTCCAGAAGCCTCTGTAGACTAAACAATCATGTTTCCAATTACAAACCAGAGGGGAAACGGTTCACAGTACAGCTAATTTATTGATGATGTTCGGTGAATAGCATTGAAGTTTACTCATGTGAACAGAGTTACACTATACACTACACAGCGACACTAATGCAGGCCTTTAAAAACAATGCCAAATGCTGTTCACCGCTCGCAACCCATTTGACAGATTCTTTTTTACTTTAAATAATAACAATAAGTCAATGAAAAGAAAATTAGGAAAGCAAATAGTTGAATGAATGAATGAATGAGGCATATGATGTATATATGTATGCATTCATTCATTCAAATATGGTTAATTTTGATTTCATATTGACAGCTAATGAAAAATTCAACAGCCAGATAATGATGAATGAAATTAATTGAACCAAGCTAATTATTTATAAATAAAATAAAACATATTTTTGTGTAATTTAACAATGTCAGATACCATGGCTGTTTTCATGGTGAGTACCAGGTTAAAATGTAGCAAAATAAAATAATATTAATAAAGTAATGTAAAATAAAATAAAATAAAATCTTACTTATGGCAGACTGGTAGCTGGTAGTGTTGTAGCTCTCGTCAGGGATGGGAAAGGGGAGAAGATATGCAGGTTTGCATACCCTTGCATGTGGCTGATTTTCTAAGGGAAAAACCATGAGAATTGCCATTTATTAGTGTGTGAGTTTTAAATCATTGTTTCAGTTAATATTCAGAAGTGTTGTGAAGTGAAGTTGTTTGCTGACTAAAATAACCTGAATTCTTATTCCCTCTGTTTGAACCTTGTGTGGCCTTTCTGTAGGGCAACAGGTCAAACCTCTTTGATATTTGTGGCAAAGACTCACCCAGAGCTTCACAAGAGGGCCACATACCTCGTTCAGTGAACAAGTCACTTTACAAATATAAAGTAATGGTAGCAGTTTAAAATGTTCAATTCATTAAAACAGCAATTCTTACAGCACTTATTGTCCATTATTATGTCATGCTTATGTTAAACATATATTATATGTATAAATGAACATCAACCTATATAAATAAATACTGTAAAAGTTTGTGTGCTTGGAAAACCACAGAACATGTCTCTGAATGTCTATTGCACTAAAGCAAATATAATAATCTCTCTTACCAAACCAGAACTTCCACAGATTGTCATCATTCATGATGTCATTAAAGGTACAGCGCCAAAAGAAGCCCTCGTGATGAAAGGTAATGTTCTGGCCGTCACTAACTTGGTGCTGACCCTGGTTGACCACGACATCACCTCGCTGTGAAGGAGCAGAGAGCAGAGGTCAGAGAGCAATGGACAACTGTTGCACAGCCAGTGAAATTACAATATTTAAAAACAGCTTATAAACAAACACTTGCAATCTATGGATGGACACATCATGCTATTTATGTGTTTAGATGCACTTTACAAAAAGAATGTCAAGGACAGATTGGAATGGAGTGAATCCGAATAATAGCTTGGACAACTGTAGACCAGTTAATGACCAACTAATGACCAGCCTGGCCATCTAGAAAACAGCTATCATGTTCCAAAACACAGCTAATAGCAGGACTATTCAAGAGAAGTGTGCACTAGACCCAGAGCCCAGTGCGAAGTAGCGGGGCCTCCCTCGGTCCGTTCAGGTCTATGGTTCAGGTACGTCCTCTGATTAAGCCAATAACAAGTTCTAGGACTTAGGACATTATCAGAAGACATTAAGAAGGATGTAATTAATCCAGGCAACAACAGAAAATGGAGATAATTAAGAAAGTTGCATTCAAGCACCGCCAATCAAAATAGATACGGAATTAGTGATGCATGAAAAAAGTTCAACCTTAAGCTTTTTCCTGTAGACTTCCTGTTGGTGCTGTTGACATGTAAAGTTTGATTAAGGGTCTTGAGAATCCACGAATTCTGCTTGATCTTTTAAACTCCCTTTTTATCTATTTTTCAGCCTCCACAAACACAAGCAGATCCAACACACTCTCATGGCAATTCATAACTATTTTACGTTTTGGCGAACTGGTAGTTAATTCGTATGAATTTATATGATCTCATTTGTACGTTTCATACTCTCTTCTTACTCCTCACTGACGGTTAGGTTAATTTTTCTCACTTTTTTTCTCTACGCCACCTCGTAAAATAGTTACTTTTTATTTTTCATTAGCTTGAGTCGGGAGCTTCTCACTTTTCCCTCCCAATCCTTTATGAGGTAAACCTAATTCATGTGTGACTTCTATGAATAGACACCGCACTGAGATTCCAGTTTGGTTATTTAGTATTAATAGGGGTGTGACGAGATCTCGTGCCACGAGATCTCGCGAGACTAAATATGACGAGATTTCTCGTCGAGTGAAAAAGCTGTCTCGCGATATCCCCATTAATATTCCACCGCTACACTCACATTCGCCTAAACTATCGTTTTGTTGTTTTTATAAAAAATAAAAACCATTATAAACTAATGCAAAAGTTTGCTCTGCTCATCCAGCGCGAGTTGCCGTTGCAATCAGTGCAGCACGAATCACAGTTCACTGATCGCATGACGATGGCGGAGGATTCGTTGCGCAACAGACTAAAACGTCTGGTAAATGTCTTATCATTTAGTATGCGCGCTCAGCACCGCTGCTCCCTATACGCGCGGTCACGAATTTGTAAGTGAAAGTAAAACACAAGCTCCCTGATGTGCATTGCGCACAAATTAGGCTGCATACATAAAATAATCCGTCTCCCAATACCCATCTCTGGACTGTTTATTTGCGGCTCTGGTCTCTGTTGGCAGTGGCACTGCGAATATTGAGAGAGCACTGTAACGTACAAAGGACAACAGACAAGGGAGGCTCCGTTTCTGAACTTATAATCGGAACGCAAGAACAACTGTAGAGACAAACAGCCTCGTTTCTCTCGGCCTTTTCCGAACTCACCGCATTAACCCTATAACTGCCGGTGCAAAATAAAACCGCAATTTCACAACAATTATAAAGAGTCTGTGTGCTAACTTTGATTATGGTTGCACTCGCACTTATTGTTTGCACTTAATAAGACTAAGAGAAAACAGTTATTTATTTTTGTTATTTATACGGTTTTTATTTCTCTGTTAAATGTGTGTTAAAAGGAGTTCAGTTAGGAGGTCACACACAGCCTCAATCAGAAGTTCTGAAAGCTCTTAAATGTACAGTAAGGTCTGAAGAGACTAATGTGAAATTATACAGGAGAAAAGCCAGTCAATAAAAACCTTTTACAGTGCTTGAATATTGTTTTCTTTCAATGCATTTGATAATTCATACTCATAAAGTAGACCTGAAATGACATGCATTAGAAGATTATTAGTTAAAACATTGAAAAATGCACCTGCATACTATTTTTCCAGCCATGAATTTTGTCATTGAGGATTTCTGAAAAATTGTGCAAAAATCTCGTCTCGTCTCGTTCTCGTGAACCCAATCTCGTGTCTAGTCTCGTCTCGTGAGATAAGCGTCTCGTCACACCCCTAAGTATTAAGTGTGGTATCAGACTGCAGCATGTGATAGTCTACACTCAAGCTACTCGGACGGAGACTGTAAATACTGACGTACGAGGATGTCATATGACTGCACTGCTTAGAAAACAAATATGCCCATGACTGCTTCAGTATCTTGCTTCAGTAAGGATCAAAGAGTAGAAATATAGTTCAATTTAGTTTCAATAAAAAAGATGATACACTAAAATCCAAAACATACTGTAAAGAGAGCCTTTTCATTTTTTTATAGACCATCCCTAAATGTCTTCTTATAGAAGTAATATTCACATCAATAAAATATGAAAATACTCATCCATGTCAAACTTTTTCCTTATGCCCTAAAAGGACTAAAACAACACCCACCTCCAAAGTAACTGGACCATTTGAATGTGGATTACAGGTCTCTGATGCCAAGAGCCAATAGTCCGTGCCAAAAGACAAGAGAATGAACAGAGTTGCCAAGGCACCAAAGAGCCCAGCGAAAAATAGTGCCACATGTAACTTCATGATGACAATCTTGGAGCGCTACTTTTTCAATCGTTTACTGCTTGTTAAATAGTCTCTCCTCCTTCCCACATGAAGTAGTCGCTGAAATTATGTAACTCCTCAATGTGTGTGATAAATAGTCCAGTTAAGCTCAGCAAGGTTTATAGTGTGTTATCACAAATGGCTGTTCTAGTAATCTTCCTTGCTCCAGTGTCTATGTGTGTGTGTGTGTGTGTGTCAGTGTCCTCTCCCTTAGCCAGAGCAGGACCTGGCATTGGGTGGGGAGTGGGTTTCATGACAGCACACCAGCGTAGAGCTGCCCATTGGGCTATTTTGGTCAGTTGAGTGAAGGTGCCTGCTGCCTCTCTCAGAGGAGTGGTTTAAGAATGGGATTTTCAGGAGGGAGACGAGTGGACCAAAATATCCCCCTACAGGACAATCAGCTGAGGGAGGAATGAAAATGAAGACAATAGAGCCCAGCATTACTAATGTCTGTCACAAATCCCACCACCAACTGAAGTGATGTTATGAAATTAAGACGAATCCTGTACATCCATTTTCACATACCATATACGGATATACATCCGTACTGTAAGTTTGGGGTCCTTTTTTTTAAACAAATTAATATTCATCAAGAATGCATTAAATTGATCAAAAGTGACAGTGAAGACATTTGTAATTTTACAAAAGATTTCTATTTCAAATAAATGCTGGGGTTTTTTTTCTATTCATCAAAGAATCCTTAAAAAAAAGCAGAAAAGCGCAACCCAGCACAACTGCTTAATACAAATCATATTATAATGATTTCTGAAGGACACTGAAGACTGGAGTAATGATGCTGAAAATTCAGCTTTGCCATCTCAAGAACAAATTGCATTTTAAAATATATTAAAATAGAATTTTAAATTGTAATAGTTCACAATATTACTGTATTTTTGATCAAATAAATGCCACCTAGATGAGCAAAATAGGCTTCTTTCAAACATCCCAAACGTTTACTGCTTCCACTATATCGTAGGACTTACGATACATGGATTCCACTTGAATCTATGGATTGAAACGGTCAATACCTGGGAAAAATACAATATAAGCTCATTATATTTCAAGTGGGGCATTTTGCACTGAGCAGATAAACCTGTGACCAATTATCACTGTGCTGTGAATGAAGGCCAGAGCCACTGAAGTGGACACAAGGCTGTCCAAAAGGGCTTTGCCTGAGAAGCCATCCAGGGATTAGAGATACAGTAGAAAAATATGTAAGCTAAAATTAAAAATAATTACAGCAGATGTCCATTGATGACTGCAAGTGTTGGAAGTCTTTCTGGTGTAGTAATGACTGTCTGTGGTGTTTCTGCACAGCAGAGCAGGGGCAGTTTTATAGAGTAGAGCTAAATTTATCTCTGCGTCTTGTTATAATACTGAGAAACAACAGTCCTTTTCATCTGCACAGAAAGACAAAGTTAGTGCTACTTTAATGTTGATTCGGATTCATTGCCGCAATTTAAGCTGTCATATGTTCTGCTATACAGAATCAAAAGCATTCCTTTAGCCCAAAATGTGAGGACTATTTGAGTGGGTTCATGTGAGTGTATTTATGTAAACTGTCTTGGGAACATCACTGTATCAGCTGCACTGGGATGATCGAGTGTCATGGTTTCCAAAATTTCATATCCAATGCCGTAAAGGATTTGTAAACAAAATTCCAGAGGGCAGTTTAGCTCTAAAATGACCATGACATAAGCTTGGACTGAGTCATGCTCACCTGACAATATAACATGTGAATAACAACAAGAACACAGTCAAATTCAACAAAAAAGAAGAAAAGACTGTGAGGTTTGTATATCAAGGCAGTTTAAGGTTATGTGAGAAATATATATAGGAGGTAACGCGAGATCTCTAAGGCATGGCACCCACCCTCTCACCCACTCTAGAGAACCAACTGTTGGCACAGCCTGGCAAAGATTAGGAAGACTGCCAGTAGATGGAGCTCAAGCATGCAGAGTAAATAACTGTATAGAGTATTGTATACTGTATGCTACAAAAAAGTAACACAATCTGTGCTACAATAAATAATATAATGCTACAATAAGAACTAACTTTTATTTAATAACCAAGAACTACACTGCCAATGATATTTGTGATTAGACAAGAATATTAGAATATTTTATAGTATGTTTCGATTCGAAAAATAGTATGTTTCGAACTATTTTATTTAAAATGAGTTAATGTGCAAAAATAATAATTTAATAAATTGCTTAAAAAATATTTAATTGTTTTCTCACTTGAGGTATCGACTCGATTCATAATCACTATAAAGCAATATTTCTCTTTTTCTAACCATGTCATACATAATAATAAAATATTATAAATAGTGCTGTCAAATCGATTAATCACGATTAATTACATCTAACATAAAGTTTTTGTTTACATATTATCTGTGTGTATAGGTAACACTTTAATTTGATGGTCCCTTTTGAACATTCTGTTGACTATAAATAAGTTTGCAAGTGCAATGTTATTTATAGTCAACAGAATGTGTTAAAGGGACCATCAAAATAAAGTGCGACCTATTATTATATTTATATATATATTATATGCGTGTGTGCACGTGTCTGTGTACACAGTGAATAAATATATGTGCGTGTGTGTATACACATAAATATTATATTAATATATATACACGTAAACAAAAACTTTTATGTTAGATACGATTAATCGCAAATTAATCGATTTGACACCACTAATTATAAACTATAATAAAATAAAAACTAATAGTAAACTATGACATGGTTAGAAAAAGAAAAATATTCTGTAGTGATTATGTAAATATTAAATATTGCCTCAAGTGAGAAATCAATCAAATTATTCATTAAACAATTTATTAAGTGATAATAATAATAATTATTGTATTGTTGTACTTAGATTACTTGAATTGTTAAAGTCATTCACTCGTAAAAAATAAAAGGAAAAAGAAAGGAAGCAAACAAACAAAATAAACGAAAACAATATATATAATCTAAAATAGACCTAAATAAGATTTTAACTTGTTTTGAATTGATTTTGATATTGGGCAAAAATTTGCCTTATAATTTGTGTAGGCTACTTTAATGACCCACATAAAATGTTTTAAAGTGGAACAAACCATGTAACATCATAAAACATAATTTTAGCCAAATCATCAAACCCATTAATAATACTCACTGATACTTGTTCACTTGATCTTTTTCGCCCAAAATCACACCTGCTGTCTAACTTGCTTAGGAGGAACTATGATTGTTTTAAGAACAAACATTTTTACTTCACTTCAGAAAAGAAAATGAGAAGCACATCAAATATTTCATAATAAATGTTTCACTTGAGAACATTACCACCAGGGGGCTGTTCCATAAACCAAGATTAGAGTATAAGCCAGGCTTATTTCGGTTAGTCAGGCTTATTTTTGGTAGATTCGGTTTCATAAATCAAACTTTAAAAAGTTCAAACTCAGTTACCCTGGCAACTTATGCTGGGAAACTAGCCTGGTCCAGGGCAGGCTAACTGTCAGGCTAAGCCTCAGTTGTTACACAGATCCTCAACACTGACCGACAAGAACACAATGATATTACCACTGACAGTCTCTAATACCATTATTGGACTTTATAAATACACAGTATACAGAAAATCAACTTAAATAAGGCTACAATATAGACAATATAGACACATATATAAGGCGTTTTAAAGTTGTCCGTTTAGGATATGTCATTTTTGTAATAAAGACATTTTAATTAAGGAGTGCCTCGGTCATCAGAGAATTCTTTCTCTACACTGTCATATATATATATATATATATATATATATATATATATATATATATATATATTATGTACTTTATTATGTCTTTCAATTCAAACACATTTAACACAATTATACAAATGGACAGTTCCTTTAAAGACATCATATTTTCCCCCAATAAATATTCCTTATTTTTCCTTCTACTTTTTTTTCTTTTGTGATAATACCAACACATACATATAAATAAAACAATAAATAAATATTAATAAAAATATAACATTCACATATATCAAACTCTTATAATGAATGACACATAATTCCTAATAGTTATTCAAGTAATATTATTTAAATATCAAATATTCAATATTAAATAAGTAAATAAATAAAATAACAAATAACTAGAAATAAAAGGGAAGGTTACATAAAAATGTAGTTAATGTAGGCCAATATATATTCCTTTATTTTATGGAATATTCTTTGATTTTAGAGTTGCACATATCTTTTCAAAATGTATACATTTGTTCTTAATTTAATGTTATCCTCTCCATAATGTACTTTAGAAACTAAATCTAACCACTCATTTAAAACTGGGGATTCTTGCTTTCTCAAAAAAAATATTGCATAAAAAGCTGTAATTCTCAGCATTCTAAATAAGTATATATCATCTTTATAAAGTAGCATAGGTCCTATACCCAAAACTATATTTTGTATCTTTATATATTTAGTTTCTTAAAAAAAATCATCCCTGAATTAGGCTACTTCTGTTCAATTTCTTTTTTTTATTAGAAGTATAAAATATATGAGTGTAATGAGCTAGAAGTTCACTGCAACATATCCAACATCCTAAAGAGAAATTATTATAATTAGAAGATATTTCTAGTGTTATAAAATATCGCATATTAATTTTCCAAGAAAAATGTATATTTTAGTCAGAATTATTGCGCTCCTATTTGGCGCGCATGCGCGCAGCAGCGCTCGTTCATAAAGATTAGCAGCAAAATGGATACATTTGCACGACTTTCTAACATTTACAGATGGAGAATATAACTGCAAAATGTAATTTTTGCACTGTGGGGGGAAAAAAACATGTCACAAACGCGTAAAACAGCACAAAATATACGCTGTTTGATGGTGGATCGATTTGATCCACGATCGACCTCTAGGGCTGCTTCAGAAACGCGTGCACACGCAATTAGCTAGACTAGATAAACCTGGATCAAATTAGTGAGATTGCGTGAACTTCAATTACCTTTTATGGAACCACTTTAGCCCCAACTTATTTGTTAGGCTCATTCAAGTCCGGTTTTGGAGTTTAATCCCCGCTTTTCTAAGCTTCATTTATGGAACAGCCCCCAGGTATGTTTGATATCAGTTCAAATAAAGCGCGTGTCACTGCTCGATGCCTTCGTTCACTGGACTGTACCATAAACAGGAGATCCTGTACATGAAATGAACCATCACTCAGCATTTCACCATGTGAAACACCCGCCCATTCGTAAGCACGAAATGAGTTACCTCTTTTTGAATTAAATAAACACAGCAGCACAAAATATTCGTGATTTCCAGTAGGATATTACTCTGGTTACACATCGTGCTCCCCTTTTATAGGGGACAGATGGTCTGATCCTCATGATGTCTCGTAAAGAGCAGCATAGCAACGCTGTCCATCGCTTCCGCATTGACTGCAGTTCTGTCAATGCGGGAGAATGAATAACTCTAAATGTGCCATTACGCACAAACGACGGAGACCACAACGCATCATACGATGTATATACGTGGTGGGATTCATGGTGAGTATCCTCTTTTGTATTTGCCGATGGTCAGCTCTTCTGTATGGCATTGATCGCAATGACATCATTTTTAAGCTGCTGTCAATAAGTTTGCATAGATCTGATGCCCCTGTTCTACACATCTGATCCATATTCTCATACTGACATGTTCTCAGTAGCTCATGACATGACAAAGATTCCCATGTATTCATTTTTAACACTTAGATAAGAAGAATTTGCTAGAACTGTTGAAATATAAGACTGTTGTTTACAAAGGCTCATTGGTTTTACATAAGCAAGATATTCATAATTTAGTGGTCTGTATGAAAACAATATTTTCACATTTGCTCAGGATTTTAGATCATAGACGCTTTGGCAACTTATATGTTTGCATGTGTAGAAATCTTTTGTCCAGTCTGTGGATTTTGGTAACACTCCTGAGAAAGAACACATTGTCTCTCCTCTTCTTTCCCTCTCAGACACATTGAGTTCTTCCTGGTTTTAATTCATCCATAGTTTCTCTCAGTTTAAAGGTTTTAGTTTTTCTAGAAAGTGCCGTGACACTGGATTGAGGTACGGTGTGACTTCAATCAAGTGCTTGGGTTGCCTGACTGCAGAAGACTCACAAATCTAGATAAACAGGCTCAACGGCGAAAGGCTTTTGTTTCAGTATTTCTTTCAGCCTATTTAAGCCAACCGACATTGAGATACTGTAAAGACAAATGACACACATTATTCATTCATTCATTTAGTGAATCAGTCAGTCATTCTTTGTTTGTTTTTTAGCATTTTGATGAACTAGGCCTACTTCCAGAAAGCATAGTTCTGTTATTAGTTTTAAATAAAAGTATGTGTTCAGTTGTCAGGGAAGATATTTTAATTAACTTGAAAATTCCTTTTTTTAATCGTTGAATAGTCCTTTTATCGTTTTTTACCTTTTTTTCAAGTCACCTCTGAATCATAACATTGAGTTTTAATTCTGATTTTTTTTTTTTTTTATAGACATCAATGAGAAACCAAGTGGTGAAATTCATTTTAGAAATGTGAAATAGTATTAAAATGTCTTAAATTTCCTTTTATGACATTTTCATTTGTCATTGAAACCACAAAAAAAAAAAAAAGATATTGTATACTGTAGGTCTGTTATGCAATTCAGAAAACAATACAGAAAACTGTTCAGGATTCATGTAATTAGTAAATTGAATTCCATATTTTAGCCATCTCAAAATTAAATCTGCTGTAATTAGACTCTAATCATAGTCTTAAAGGGATAGTTCACCCAAAAAAATAAAATTCTGTCATAATTGATTCACCCTCAAGTTCTTTCAAACATGAATTAATTCCTTTCTTCTGCTGAACACAAAAGAAGTTATTTTGAAAAATGTCAGTAACCAAACAGTTCCATAGTATTTTTAGGGGGCGAATGGTCAGATGAATGTGCAGATGAAAAGTCAAAGGGGCCCATAAACTGTTTGGTTATCCATATTCAAAATATCTTATTTTGTGTTCAGAATTAGAAATTCATACAGGATTGGAACAACTTGAGGTTGAGTAAATAATGACCGAATTTTCATTTTTGGGTGAACTATCTCTTTAAATACTAGAAATGTGTTTCTTGAGCTGTGTTTGCTTTGCTGACGTATAAATCCATTTTATGTGTGTGTGTTTTCAGGATCTCTTTGGGGTCAGTATGATTATCCCTTTGCTGAGTCATCATGTGAAGTTTCTGGGAGCAAGTCCGACAGTGGCTGGGATTATAGGTAAGTCTCTGGTGTTGTTGTTAAAGTCGGCATGAAAAGGAACTTGCGATCGTCTTTTCTGTCCTATCGTGATGTACTGTATATCTGAGTGAAACGGCTTATCGAAAGAAAAATGTTGGCAGGACTTTTTTTCGAGCTGGAATTGATTGGATCATTGGATGGTTGTGGTTTGCTATTGCTGTGATGTCATGTGAGTGACCAGTTGATCACACCAGTAAACACGTCATCAGAGAAGAGAAGAGAAGAGAAGAGAAGAGAAGAGAAGAGAAGAGAAGAGAAGAGAAGAGAAGAGAAGAGAAGAGAAGAGAAAAGAAAAGAGAAGAGATGTTGCTGCAAGCGGGAGGGGAAGATATTTTGATTAAAGAATTAAAAAAAAAATAATGTGCACGGATAAATCATTTATAATAAATACTGCAATATTTTATTAAATTTTGATTTCATGGTGACTTTAAATTCCATGGTGGCACTGAGTTTCAGTATTAGTAGCATATTTCACTATTACAAACTAGTTTAGAAAATTGTTGCCTTTCGTTAGCTAGTATGAAAATGAGTTTAGACAGCTTATTTTCTGCTGTGATCAAGAGAAAAGGCTCACATTTACTTTATTTTGATTACTAAAACTATCAAGGCTACAACAAAATTAATTTGCATAGATTTGAATAAAAATCTACCAAAAAATGGTAGGAATTTAAAATTGTGTGCCCGCGTGTGTGTGTAAATAGTTTTGATTAATTTTCTGGCAAGTTTTATAGTTCATTATTCTAAATGTAGGCTGTTGCCAAACACTGTAGGCCAACAGCCATACAGTAGGTTTGCTTTCAAATGCTCCTAGAATTAGAGTCTAGAGAATTATAAAATTCATTAAAGCAGTTTGCCACATCAATTTTGGTATGTTTTTCAGGTCTTACTGAATGAATATGTTCTCTAATGATTAGAGTGATTTTTGAGGGTGCACAAAATCAATTCAGTTGATACAATTAGTGCAAATTAATTTTATTGTGTTTTTGTAAATATATAAGTCCAATTTTGTTTAATTCTGCACATCCTGTTCTCAATAGAGCCAATGTTAATTTACTTTTCTTACTTTTTCAGTCAACAGATGACTTCATTGCTGGCGGATTGTAATTTTTAGTGCAAAGACAAGCAGGTCTTTGAAATCAGCAGTACATTGCCTGCGCCTCGTCTCTGATTAAAAGGGCTGCTTAAATATGGCCCATATAATGTCAGTGGAAATCACCAGCTCAAAAGATATTTTCACTGATTTCATTAAATTGTGATCACAAGGTCTCGTTGCCTCAACCGCTTGATTGTGAAACTAAAAATATTCTTTTTTTAGTAATTAATTTATTTGGTGATGTTTCCCTCTGCTGTCATGACAAATAAAAAATGCTGTTTCCCATTGTTGCAGGATCTACCTATGGAGTGTTACAACTCTTCTCTAGCACTGTTGTGGTAAGTGGTGTGTGTTTTTTTTTTTTAGTGAGCAGCATTTGCTACAGGAATATGATAAACTCAATTTAATAATTCATGTTTTCTTCTTCTGATCTGTCTCCATATAGTTTAAGGCACATATCACAGTAATTGTTTATTACAATCAACATTACACCTCTAACTGCATATTGCACTCACGTCTGGAGTGTGTTACTGTAAAATGAGTCGTCATATTGCCATTGACAAACACACGACACACACATATTTAAAGTGGTTAAAGCCTGAAGGTCACAGGGCTAGTTAAGAAGTGAATGAGATGTTTGTCTTCTCTTGGATGTTAAGCATAGAGATAGCAGACAGGAATAGTGAGCCTCTATGAGGCTTTGTGAGCCTGTAGGCCAGAAACAGAGAGAACATAGTAAATCCAATTTAAGTTTTTATTGCATTATGCGTGTGTGTGTGTGTGTGTGTGTGTGTGTGTGTGTGTGTATCATACCTCAGTCTAATGAGTGCTGGTATGGAGATGCCTGCAGTGCTTGCCTCGGGCAAGCCTGAGACATTTCATTTGTGAGGTCCGAGGTCTGCCTGTAGGCTATAATTTGTAGCTTTCTTTGGTGAAATGCTTCTCTTTAATAAACAACTAAGATTCTGACTCAAAGGTTCTGCAATGATTCGCACACACAAAAAAAAATGTCATACTAGCTGAGTGATATGTAGTGTCCTGAAGCAGTGGCATAGCCAGAATAAAATTTTTGGGGAGTCCCATCTTAAAATGACATTATAGGCTAAATATATACTGCATATGTTCATTTCTGCCTGGGGGTTTTCCTGACCGACAACCGATTAAATTATGTTTAATTAGAATTAAATTAAAATGGATAATTGTCACCTATTAAAAATAACTAAATTTGTTTTGTTCCGTTTTCCATGCACAAATAGCAGCATAAACAACAGAACATGAAGATTCGCACATCGATACATCACGCACCTGCAGCGTTTCTGTGAATGGAGAAAAACTGAATAAGATTAAGCCTTAGGTGCCGCTTCACTCTCTGTCTCCTTGTGGAAAGATGAAGTAGGCCTACAGTAGATACTGTAGCACTTTTTCTCCTTCTCGCTCATCTTTCTGTGATTTCTTGAAAAAGCTTAATTTTTAAGCGAACTTTGTGCATCCGCCATTGTCAACGCATGTTAATGAACTCTCACGCGCAAAAGAAAATGACAGTGTATAATCTACGCACAACACGTTAATCAAACCAATAAGTTTGAAAACAGCCATTGCATTTTACTGTGCAGCATAGTTTAATCTATCAATTAGAGCAACAAATCAACAATTCTTTAACCGGCCCCCTCGTGGCTATGCTACTGTCCTGAAGTCACTAGGATCTGTTAACCACAAAAAGAATCTGACCATGGGACTCAACATGTCAGTCATTTTAAATCTTTGGGTTGGACATGGAGGGCAGGGTTTTGGAGAGAGCTATTTTGCTAAGATTAGCTGTTTTGCTAGGATTAAGGAGGGTTAGCTGTTTAGCAAAACAGCTAGTATTACTTACAGCATCTTTACATGGTCACATTCTACATAAGATTTTCACATTAGCTGCTACTACTCTAATTGTGGAAAAGAAGTACACTTTAGCATACATGTATAAAGGAGTATTTATAACTGAAGTAATATTTTAAAAGAACATAGGCCTACTTAAGTGCTTAACTGAATGTAATGTAATGTTTACTGATACTTAATTGCATGTTAATTGCAATCAAATGAAAATGTATTCATATTACATATAATTAGCCGAACTTTAGAGTTGACCCACTTAAGTAGGAATTCATTAAGTTCATCTTTATATGTAATTTCATAATTCCTTCTAAAGTCTTTGAAATGTTTGTGCCTAGTATAAAATATGAAATAAATATGAATGCAACACAGACCAAAGGCATGTAAACGAACCAAAAACTGCACATGATGTCACAAGATGCGATCCTAAAATGGACAGAATGCTTATACGCATACCTGTTTTTTTTCTTTTTTCGTCATAGTCGTGATGTTGTCTATCACAATTCGGTACAAAATCTCCACGCAGCAGGTCTTCGTTTGTGTGTGTGACAGAGGGATTCCTGCTGCTGTTTTGACTCCTTTACACATTTTATAAGCTCTTCACGAGTTCTCAGCTGGTTAAAATACCATCATATGTAGACTACGCACATTCAACAAGCACATTTATCCCAGCACACAGCATTGTTTTGGATGTTCGGTAAGTTCCGTTGCAAAATATACAAAATAAAAGCAGACCAATCAGGTTGTGAACATATCCCTATGCCCTTAGGTGCGGTGCTAAAATGCCATTGTGAATGTGGACCAGGACTAAATGTTTTTTTTTTTAACACACCCTTAATAAAACCATGCAGAAATTTGATCTTCTTCATCTCTCTTCGTCATCCTTGTGGATTAGTGTTACAGTCTGCAATTCTGTGTTTATTTCTCCATGGAGACTAATTATTGAAAATGACTTATTTTATATACAGGTATCTTTCATTGTATCTTATATTGTTTCGTCGGCAGGGAAGTTGGAGTGATGTGGTTGGGAGGCGCTATTCACTACTGACGTGCCTTTTGCTCAGTGCCTTTGGATATGGCCTGCTGGGTCTGTCCACTAGTATTGCGCTCTTTGTTCTGGCCAGGATACCAGTGGGTGAGTAGTGGAGTACTTTTGTTCATGTAGCAAATTAGGATGTGCATTATTGCTTCAAGTCACACATTAATGTGATTTCCTTTTCTGTCGAAAGGGCTTTTTAAACACTCCCTGTCTATCTGCCGAGCGCTCCTGTCAGATCTTGTGTCGGAGAAAGAACGGCCTCTAGTGATGGGTCACTTTAATGCAGCCTCAAGTGTGGGATTCATCCTGGGACCAGTGGTGGGTGGATATCTCACTGAACATGAGGGGGGTTTTTACTTATCCTCATTCGCCTGTGCAGCCATTTTCTTTCTAAATGCAGGTGAGCAAGACTGACAGTAGTTACATGATTAAAGGAAGTAACTTATTCCTTAAGAGTACAGACAAGTATAGACAAGCCAATGTTTTATGAGATTGCTGTTATTTTGTAATGCATTAGGGATAGTTCACCCAAGGACATGTGTCATTGTTTACTCACCTCATTCCAAAACAACATGACTTTCTTCCTCTGAACACAAAAGGAAAAATGTTGAAGACTGTTTGCCATTTAATTGCAATGAATGTGAGCTGAAGCTTTCAAACTTCAAATAAGACACAAAAGAACTTATAAGAATACCGTATAAAGGTGCTTCATATGTACAGTATATGAACTATATACCAAGTTTAAAGCCATATCAGTGATGTTTGAAGTCCAAACCATTTTTCATGTATCTTTTTGAAGCTTGAAAGCTTCAGTCCCTATTAATTGTACAGTAATTGCATGGAAAAGAGCAGCATTGGCATTCTGCTAAATGTCATCTTTTTTGTTCCACTGAAATAAGAAAGACATGAGTTTGGAATGGCACGAGAATGAGTAAATGATTACAGAATTTGTATCTATCAGAATTTTGAAACTATCCCTTATTAAAAAGTACACTTTAGCATACTTAAAAAAAAAAAAAAAAAAAAAAAAAACGTTTTTTATGGAAATAATATACTTTAAAAAAAATCATACTTAAAGAGTTCCCTGGTGAAAAATAAATATACTCAAATGTATTTGAAATACATTTACTTTATACTAAGTATACTACAAATACATGTACATATTTTTGTACTTTATATAAATATCCTGCAATTGTACTTTTAGTATACTAAATTGGTATTCTTAAAGTCTTCTAAATTGGAACTACTAATTTTGTACTTAATGCACTTTAGTTATCCAGAAATTGTGCTGAGGTCCAACTAAATATATACTTAAGTATATTTGATTGTGCTGAAGTGAAACTATTGCAAGTATACTTTAGGTACACTTTAAATATCTTGCATTTAAAGACTGATATTATACAGAGATCATACTATCCTTCTAGTGATATTAAAACACATTTTAGGCTTAATATTAAGAAATGTGCATTGTGCAATAAAGAAGTACTCCAAATAAAGTTTAATTAAAATATTTATATCAGTAAGTCTCAAGCGATATGTCAGTAAATATGTTAATGTGTACTTAGTATGAAATGAATGGATTTTAAATACATTTTGGTATAGGTTTTTTCACTTGGGTTAGTTTACCCAAAAATGAAATAATCCCATAATTCACTCACCCTCAAGCCATCCTAGGAGTATATGACTTTCTTCTTTCTGCCAAACACGATCGGAGTTATACAAAAATATAAAAAATATCCTGGCTCTTCCAAGCTTTATAATGGGAGTGAATAGTAATTGAGATTTTGAAGCCCGAAAAAGCATCAATCCATCCATCATAAAAGCCGCTCCAGGGAGTTAATAAAGGCCTTCTGAAGGGAAGCGATGTGTTTTTGTAAGAAAAAAATGTCCATAATTATAACTTTATAAACTGTCCGCTGCCCCCTGCCCCCTGGAGCCGTATGGATTACTTTTATGATGGATGGATGCACTTTTTTGGGCTTCAAAATCTCAGTTTCTATTCACTCCCATTATAAAGCTTGGAAGAGCCAGGACATTTTTTAATACAACTCTGATTGTGTTTGGCTGAAAGAAGAAAGTCATATACACCTAGGATGGCTTGAGGGGGAGTAAGGCCCTGTCCACACGGAGACGCGTTTAGCTGTATACGTACACATTTTGTGTCGTATTGGCGTTTCGTCCAGACAGATCCGGCGTTTTGGGACACTGAAACCGCTATTTTTTTAAACCGGGTCCCAGGGTGGATAAATCTGAAAACGACACCCTTGCGTTTTCGTGTGTACAGCCAATCCGTATATTTTGTGAAATGATGATGTCATCACCCCACGTGTCGACTAGTCAGACACTGCTTCGTCACGTAACAGCAACAACAACTGCCGGACTGCTTGCATAATAATAATAATATAATATAATGCTGCAGAAACTACTGAGCCTCTTGTATTCCTTTATTTATTATTTACTTGAATGTATTTTTATTTAATTTATTTATATTTTCTTTCGTATGCTATGGTGCTGGTCTGTTGTCTGACATTTCGTATTTTGTAGGGATGGGCATTTCAAGCAAAAATAATATTCGACGATCGATGGGAATTATTTGATTATTATTCAAAAAACGCACCCCTGCCCCACATGCTCACCGTAAAACGGCGCTCGCTCAAATTCCACTCCGACATTACATTTCTCTGTAGGTTACTGTAGGCCTACGTGTTGTAGCCAGTAAAGAAAATGTATTTAGATTAATATTTATGTTTAAATAATGTTATTTTTTTATTTAATCTAGGTTGATTATGAAAAGTGAACCGCATGCATGAGTAATAATAAGATGCGCAATATATCGGGAGACCTAATTTTGACCACATTAAGTTTTGTTTTGTATAAAGGCATTCTTTAAAGTGAATTTCGTTTTGTATAAATTGTATCTTAATTTTAATCAATGTTTCATCAACCAGTTGCCTGGATTTAATAAATAAGAAGCAAATATAGCCTATACCAGACAATATAATTAGGACATGGACGCGCCGGCGCGATATAACTTGCATTGCTCGTGAACTGGAGCTCGTCTCATAAATATATAGAAAGCTTGAAATGTCTACTTTTAAACAACATCGAACAACAATTCAAAACGAAAAGAAACAGATAACTCTCTCTTATGTAGCCTAATCCGTATGAAGTGCATTAGTCAAGACTGACACAGAAAACACTAGTTTATTAATAAACAATTAAAATGTCTCCTTGCTATATTTGACACATTCATTACTTTTGCCGGTTCTTTGTGGTAAGCTTTCTGAGTCCGCTAACTAATCGAATATCGTGACTCCCTATTTTGTACCAGGCCATTTATGGTTGTTCAATAAAGTTCTTGGTAAAAAAGAAAAGAAGCTACTGTGCCTAATATTATTGTATAGTAGGCCTATTTCTTTTACTGTCTATGTATAGTAGCCTACAGTGCGCAAGGTTTATGCGCATGCTCTAAGTCTTCTTCTCGCATTTTTTGGCAGAATTACAGCGCCACATACTGGTCTGGGATGTATACTACATCGTTTTGAGTCGGTTTCAGTGGTTTCGTGTGTACGCAGATATTTTTCGAGACGCCGCCGTGTTTACGGATTTTTTTTTTAGAACGAGGAAAAAAAATATCGGATAGGGAAAGCTCTGGCTTCGTGTGGATGTGGCCTAAATCATGGGATAATTTTCAGTTTTGGTTGAACTAACCCTATAAGTGTGAATGGAAACAAATGTTTTCTGACACTTAATTTCATGTTAATTGTAATTAAATTCAAATATATTATAGTTTGAATTTATATTAAATGCAGTTAGCTGAACTTTAGAGTGCTTAATTAAATATAAAGTACTTTAAAGTACTTTCTTAATTTTTTTTTTATATTCTTTGAAATATGGTTAAGTGTACTACCGAATGCACTGACAAGCATTTATGATAAACTAAAATACTTTATTGTCCTTTCTATTGAACAATCATTTCTATTGAACATTTAATAGAATTTAGTACATTTCTTTTTCACAAGTGATGCCTTCAGATGTCTGCTACAAAGCAAGATAAACTACAGTTTACTTATCCAGATATTGTCTTCTCAGGTTTGGTCTGGATGCTACCGTGGAGCGAGACACTAAATCACCGTATAGATGCAAATGCTAATAGTAAAACCAAACCCAGCAAAACCTATGATGGGTTAAAGAACTCAGTCCAGCAGAACTTCTCAGACAAAAACTACATTCGGCATCCTAATGCACCTGCAGTCCATAGTCGAGCAAATGGAGGATGGGGCTGGAGGGACATGTCTATCTTCCAGTCTGCCTGGAGACAGCTGACCTCAGTGTGGATGCGGATCTGCATGGTGGCGTCCTCGGATTTGTTGGACGTGTTCCTGGTGCGGCTTCTAATGGCTGTATCTATAATGCTGTACTATAGTAACTTCTCCTTAGCCATGGAGGAGCGTTTTCAGCTCAAACCAAAGATGACAGGATATTTGATCAGCTACAGCAGTATGTTGGGAGCCCTTGCTGGCTGCTTGGTGGGACCCGTAACAAACCTCTATGGCAACAACATGTCTGCTTTATTGTTGCACTCTACAGCGCTCACCTGCACATTGATCTTCCTGTATGCCACGGCACCCAATGTCTGGCAGGTCCTGCTGACCTCCACGTTCTTTGCAATCTCTACCACTATCGGCCGCACTTGCATCACCGACTTGGAGCTGCAGCGTGGGGGAGCCCAAGCTAGTGGGACGTTAATCGGAGCGGGACAGTCAGTCACAGCTGTGGGACGGGTCCTCGCACCACTGCTGTCTGGTCTGGCTCAAGAATTCAGCCCCTGTGGACCTCCTAGTTTAGGGGTCGTGCTGGGTCTGCTAGCTGTGGGCTTGCTACTCGTGAGGACTCCTAAGTGGGACAGTAAGACAAAGGTTAAAGACAAGAGTCCCAAACAATGAGGTGTAAACCACTTAAAGTGAAGGAAAGATAAAGGACTGTGATGGCAGCTGTCTTTTTCCTCTCAGGTAATGTGATTGTGGGAGTTTGGATCTGTATACCAGCTATAGAATGTCAGGACGTCAATGTGAGAGATGGCCGTCAGTAAGGCTGCCTCCTGTTCCGCCATGCTGAAAGAGAGCAACTGCCTGTTCAAATGCAGACTGACAGAGTCCGATGCAAAGTCTAATAAGATGAATGTTTATGTCAGAACATTTTGCTGTTAAATGGTCCAACACCATTGGCAAAAGTAGTTTAAAACATCTCGGTTACATATCTAACATTGGTTCCCTGAATAGGGAACGAGACGCTGCGATAGCCGTCTCTATGGGAACACATTCGGTGTGACAAATGTCTTAAGTCTTAACACCACCATGCCATTTATTGGCCAGTAGCGCTTAGCACCGCCCAAGAAATACGTCACGTATGCTTCATATCAGCATACTATGCGCCATTTCATCAGATTTCTATGACGAAGGAAGCAATTATCGAAAGGTATGGGAAAGGCCGGCATCGCAGCGTCTCGTTCCCTATTCAGGGAATCAACGTGACATAAGTACGAGACGTTTCCTTTCATAGGTTCACTTCAATGCTGTGATAGCCATTGCTATGGGAACGATAGACCATAACGCCTTCCCATACCTGAAAAAAGCTGGAAAACCGAGAAAAGAGTTCGCACAAGCAAATTAAACTTGGGAGCCAGGAGCCATCTTCACATCCAGACCACAGAACTTGATAAAGGTGTTCGGAGAGGATCATCTTGCCGCAACATAAATATCTTCCAAAGAAGAGCCCTTAAAGAGAGCCTGAGAAGAAGCCATTCCTCTAAGGAATGAGCACACACACCTAGAGGCAAAGCCATGCCATGCGCCTCATAGGTCGCAGAGATAACCTCGATCACCCAATGAGACATCCTCTGTTTGGTGACAGCAGCTCCTTTGTTTTTACCGCAAAACACACAAACAGTTGGTCAGATCTATGCCACTAGACTGTGCAGTTGACATAGATCTTCAACGCCCTCACCGGGAAAAGGCCAAGAGGTTGTACATCACTCCCAGTCCCCGAATCAGGAGGGGAAAGAGTCTCCAAGACCACCTGCTGAAGCGAAATGCAACGCAACTGTATGAATATACCCCGGCCTAGGTCAAGGATAGAGCCACCAAAAAGGACCGTCTTAAGGGTCCAAAACTTATCTGACATCGACTCCAATGGCTCAAATGGATGTCCTGCTAGACCCTACATGATAGATAAATCCCAAGAAGGAATTTGTGCAGGGCAGAAAGGCCTAAGCCGTCTTGTCCCTTGCAGAATACGGGAAACCAGGGGGTGATGTCCAACAGAAACACCTCCCCATGGGCACATGCTCAGCAGATATAGGTGCCACATAAACCGTAAAAGTGGAATGGGCTGCCCCCGCCAAAGAAAATGTATTTTTTTTGTATTGAACCTACAGGGCAATGAACTGGGTCCAGGTCACGCTGCCTGCACCAAGAGGCAAAAAGCGTCCACTTAAAAGCATTCGGGCACCTCGTAGAGGGGGCACTAGAGTCAAAAATAGTGTCTGCAATCTCAGCCGAGAGACCAGAACACATTAACGTGCTCTGCTCAGGGGCCACACCCACAGTTTCCATAAATTGGGACGGGGTTGCTAAATCATACCCTGGGCAACCTCCCAAAGAGGCCCAACTAGCAGACTGACCAGATCTGAGAACCATATCTGAGCGGGCCAGAACAGGGCCACCATCAACAGATGTCTCACTTCATCCGTCCGTACTCTGAGCAGAACCGCTGAGAGCAGTCGGATCGGCGGGAAGGCATAAAGTCTGGTCCTGGGCCACTCCTGAGCCAGAGCATCCACTCCCAGAGGCGACAGAGGAGACAGGGAGACCCAAAGCTGACAATGCGTAGTCATGCTCGAAGCAAACAAATCCACTTCCGTTCGGCCGAACCTCCGCCATATGAGGCTCATCACTTGAGGGTGTAGCCTCTTGGCCTGCGCCCAAAGTAGGACACAAAGTATGCATCATCTGGTCCGCAGCCAAAATAATCGATTTACGAGCTTCCAGAGCGGGAATCAGATTTTAATAAACCAACAGATTCACAAAGCGCTCCTCGGTTGAAAGCATGTGATCTGGGGAGAGAAAGAAAGAAAGAGAAAGTGAAATTCTGTTCACTCACAGAATACAGCTCAAGCGTACAGCTCGTGCAGCGCCTCGGCAACCGCAGAACTGGAACAGCGGGGGTTGAACGAACATCTTTCTTTCCTCAGAAAGAAAGCAGGCCTAGAGCGCAACACTTACAAACAGGTTATCACAGAGACAACAATCAGGTAGGCTGCTATTAGCTCCACTCACCTGTCATCATGAGCCTGTGACGAACCTGTCGCAGTGTGTCCATACACTTTCGGAAACTCATCGTGTCCGCCTGAGAGGAGTAATATACTGCTCTAAAGTAGTAGACTTAGAACACAAGAATCTCTTTCTGACGGGCAACAGAAAATTCTCTTCCTGAAGGAAATGAAAGCTAATGAAATGGCGCTTAGCATATTGAGATGAAGCATTCGTGCTTAGCGCTACTGGTCAATTAATGGCTTGATGGTATAAGTGCTTCAGACATTCGTCACACTGAAGGTGTTCCCATAGCGACAGCATTGAAGTGAACCTATATGGGGATCCAAGGCTATTCTATTTCAAAACATCAGAAGTGGGACATTCATCGTTGAAAAACGTTTATCTGTGTTCCCTGGTCAAATTTCACACTAAAAGTCAGATAAACATATGAAAGGTAAGGCTTATATGCTTCCAAGAAATCAATTTAGCATTTTAGGAGGGATAAACTTTACTACATGATTGAGTTTTATGGAAGTAAAATAATGCCAAATGTTTTTGAAACAAAAAAAGCCTGTTGAATTGCACTACTTGGAAAAAAATATACATTGCATTAATCATGCTTGTATTTTAATGCATTGTATTTTTAGGGCTTGTATTTTCATGAGCTGAAATTCAGCATGGTTGAATATTTAAGCTGTGAATATTTCAATTCAAAATATTTAAAACACATTTTCATTATTAAAAATTCAATAATCCATATTCACTTCCAAAATATTCAAACTGTTTAAAAAATACAACCTATAATATTCAACAGGCAATTTTCGGGCCATTTTATTTCGCTTTGAAAATTCGCTTCCAAAAATTCAGTGGTTCAAATTCGACAGTAAATTCAACGTTGACATCCAGGAACTGCAGGAAAAGCAGTAGATTACCGAGCATAGTCTCCATCTGCTGTTAGTCGACCTCACCATATTTTTTTCAAGTAGTGCAATTCAACAGGCTTTTTTGTTTCAAAAACATTTGGCATTATTTTACTTCCATAGAGTTTTACCTCACTGTGGCATTGATGCTCGTTTAACCACTATTTATCATTGGTGTACTTCAGAATACGCACTTCCTTCTGTAGTTCTCCAAAGGCTAGCAATAATGTTTTCCATACAACTATACAAAAAAACGAAATAGATCGTGACTGCTGTTCAAAAGTTTGGGGTCAGTAAAATGTTTTTGTTTGTTTGTTTGTTGTTTAATAATATTTTTCAGTAAGGATGCATTATATTGATCAAAAGTGACAGTGAAGATATATATTTTTTTTAATCATAAATGCAATATTAAAATAGAAAAGTTATTTTAAATATCTGCATTTCTTACTGCATGTTTGATCAAATAAATGCAGCCATGGCGAGTATGAGACTTCTTTAAAAAACATAAAAAAATTGCATCAACCCCAAACTTTTGAACGGTAGTGCATGTGTGGGAAATGTTTTTTTTTAATCATTGTTTTTGTTTCGATTTTTAAATTTGTTATGTTTTTCTGAATTTGTTATGTTTTACAGTTATTACTTTAAATTTAATGTCAGGAATTGTGTTCACACCTGAGCATAACAACACAATTTTTGTCTAAGAACATTTTATTTTACAACAAATGAAAATAAAAGTAGCCTGAGCCTACACAAAATTCCACTTCCATGGATCAATAAATTGTTTCATTTCACATATTTATATTTATCTGTGCCTAAATAATGTAATTAACTTAAATCCAGTTAAATCTCATCAATAGCAATATTTAAGTTCCGAAAGCTAACGTTCAATTCAGTGAATTACAAAAAAATAATAAAAAACTTGTAAATGACAATGCACTCAATTTAAATGCACATGAAGCACACAGTGGTTTTAAGACCTATATATCACAATTTCTGATGGCTTTAGTGTCGTAGAAAGCTTTTATGTAAATTCTCACATAGGAATATTTTATGATTGTGTTTAACATGGAGTAAATTCTTCCCTTTCTCTCTAGTGTAAGTGTTTTAGTTTGCTTCAAAGTTGTGTGATCTCATCCACAGATAATAGCAGTCCAGCTGCATTAACAGATCAGCGTGGCCTCCTCATCAAAGGCTGTTGTACATCATTCTGTGGTTCCTGTACCCATGTGTGGGGAGACGGCCATGATTGCTGCTCTCCACCCTCACAGTCTTTGTCACTATAGTTTCTAGATGAGCCATAAGGCGGATTTGAGGTCTGATGCCCTGAATGGCTGATGTTTGACCTCAGATGTGACATCCTGTAGCCCCTCTCCTCCTCATTTTGTTCATCCAACATGTTCACAGAGGAAGCTAGAGGCATCACTGCTTTAGATGACAATCTCTGTGGATGCTTGAACATAGGCCTGGTTGACGGATAGTCAATCTCGGTTTCTGTATCACCATCTCCTAGAAAGATACATTACCATCTATATTACTGTCAATATACAGATGCTTAAAATCAAAATAGTTATGAAAATCCCTTGTTCTAAATCGTTGTAATATTTACAACTCTGCAAGATGTTCATTAGAAAAGCATGACAAATTATTCATGACAAAAAACTCAAACTAATTCAAATAAATGCTGTTATTTTTAATTGTCTATTGATCCAAGAACCCTGAAAAATGTATCACAGTTTTCACAAAAATAGTAAGCAACACAACTGTTTTCATGTTAATATTAAATGTTTCTTGACAGCATGTGACAGAGTAATGATGCTTAAAAATGTTAGCTTTGCCAGAATAAATTAGTTTAAAATATATTAAACTAGAAAACCGTTTTTTTTTTTTTTTAAGTGTTACTATAGTTTTGATTAAAAAAAGCAGGCTTACTGAGTATAAGAGACTTCATCTTAACAAATCTTACAGACCTCACACTTTTGAACGGTAGTGCATATATTTCACCATCATGTTGAACAGTTTTACTGTACATTGTGAAGAGACAGAATTGAGGTCTTGTACATAATCTCTGAGATAATCTACTGTATGTAAGTCAGTTGCTGTCTATATGCAAAACATGTAGAATCTGTTTTGCTACATGGACCAGAGGTTGAACTATAGAGATGGTTTAATTACTGCTTTAATACTGTATATTCTCTCACCGGTGTGACCGAATCTCCGTGGAGGAAATCCAGAGTTCAGACTCTGACCCATCGGGAGAGACAAAAACTTCTGGGACTTTTTTGCAGCATTCTGGTGCAGCAGAGAAGAGCAAGGAAAGGGTCCATGACAGAAAAAAAGACTCTCATGTCCATAATCAAAAGTATATACAGATCCGGGGGGTGAAAACTTTGGAACAGGATGAAGATGTCCACATTTTGGAACAGGATGAAGATGTCTGCTAAATGAATAAATGTAAATGTAAATGTAAATGTAAGATGTCCACATTTTTCTTATTTTGTTTAAATATCAATTCATTTTTATTTAGTAGGCTACTACATAAGAGACTTACATGTTTCCCTGAAGACAAATGTACACTGATCTTCAAATTCAAAAAGTTCCCCCCCCGGCTCTTAATGCATCATGTTTCCTCCTGGAGTATCAATGTTTGAACCTTTTTTCAATAGTTGTGTTTGAGTCCCTAAATTGTCCTCAGTGTGAAAAGATGGATATCAAAATCATACAGTTACTGCTGGAAAGGGTCAAATATACAAAAGATGATGGAAAACTGAAAATGTTTCGTGACCAGGGGGATTTTTCTGAAGAATATTTGGCAGTTTAACTGCTCAGGACAAACAAGGGACTCAGGAACAACCATCATAAAACTAAAAAAAAAAAACGGTTGTGGATCATCCAGGTAACGAACGACACACAGTATTAAGAATCAAGCATAAACTTTAAACGGGGTCATTTTTATCAATTCAGCACGTTTTTTGTCTTGTGGACAATATGTAATTTTAGACATTTCATCAGTGAAACATGTTCTGATTTTAAGTTTTTGTCTTATATCTCATAATTATTTTACCCTGTATAAATAAGTGCTCTGTATAAATTTATGTAGTGTTACATACAGTGCCATGGAAGCTTCCACCTCTGAGGCTGCGACGTAAACTTGTGTGCCGTCTCATCAGGATCTCTCTGGCTGTGATATCATTGGGTAATGAATGCTTATTGGTATAAGACACTGTCTGTTAAGAATAATGGATAAAAATATATAGATCACAATTTGTGAAATATTGCAAGGCACAATAAAGTAGAAAAAGGGACATTATTAACAATTGTATGTCCCACTACTTATTCCACATACTATACAAAACTGAATCATTCAAGAAAACATTAAACTTTTCTATAAAACATGGTAGTTTTTGTTCAGTGTAACATTGGCTACTTGTTTCTGGACCCAATAACGTCATACAAATGCGACAAAAAATTGTTATATCTAATGTCGGTCAGTACCCTAAAATATATTCAAATTCTGTTGTCAAATTTCAGCTATGGTACTGGGATGTTCTGAAACTTCCTATTGAGCATTTTACCCTTTTTTGTGGTGTTTTTGGTTGAAACCTTTATGATAATTTATAAAAATGCACCTTCAGTGCATTACTTTGCATATCGTTATAAATAGTGTAACCAGTCCTACCCGACCTGGTCCGAGCGATTCAAACAGGCATCTCCGCCTCTTGAGGCCAGGGGAGTGAGGTTTACCTGCACAGTTCTCACTAGCTAGCCTCCTTTACACTTACCCCCTAAACCTCACTCCCATCCGGGTCACGGCACCAAATGTAACTTGACCTGCTCCGAGCGGGATTCGAACCGGCGTCTCCGGCATGGGAATCGCAGTCTCTAGCTCGCCTCTTGAGGCAAGAGGAGTGAGGCCTTCTTTACACTCACCCCCTAAACCTCACTCCGGGTCATGGCACCAAATGTAACCAGTTCTACTCTACCAGCTCAGAATGGGATTCGAACGGTGTGTCCGGCATGGTCGCAAAAGAATGCTAGAAAAGGACTCTAAAGACCGCAGTCTCTAGCATCGGTCTCTATCGTCAGTCGCTAGAGCGCGTCTTGAGGCCAGGAATGTGAGGTTTAACCGGGCTATTGTCTCCGTTACAATAGCAAAGCTATGATATAAAAATATTAGCTTTGAATTTAATATAACACCTAATATCTTTGAATTTTTAGTACTTTCAGCAATTCCAATATTTTTCAGGACATTCTGTCACAACTCACCCTCTGTCTGATCTTGTACATGTTTTTTGATAAGAGTTCATGCATACTTGTCACATCAGATGACAAGAACTTCTTCCTGGACTTTGAGGCATTCTTTGTTTCTTCACTATAGTAAACGAGAACAGAGAACAGAAATCAACAGGAAGCAAATCATTGGGATTCTCCTGTGACTTCTAGTAAAATGATTAATCTATTAATAAGCTAAATTAAAAAAGAGAAGCATAGGACAGGAAAAGAAGTGACTGTGCAAAAAGGAGACGTACTGTAATAAAATTAAAGAGGGAGCTGCACTGATGTCACCGGACATTGTGTCCAGAATCTCCATGGCGTTCTGAAGCTCCAGTTTCTTATACAGAGCCACAATGCTCGATTCTGGACGAGTATCACGGATTAAAATCTTGCGAATGATCCGGTTATTAAACTTCATGAACCTGACAACCAAAGATTTTATAGATCAAAACAAATTAATCTCACAATCAAAATCACATACATTTTAGATACCAGAGTGTAGATTACAGAGTGTACTGGACTGTGTACATTTATATTTAGCTTCTACATATAAACTGAGTCACTGAATAAATGTCCTTTATCCATTCAGATCTTTTTCCAAAATTGAACATAACTATCCAAGGGTAATAGCTGTGGTAGTAACTAACAAGAATAGTCTTTATGACAAATTAATTTACATAAGCCTGAGGCTGATGTTAACGCATGTTCACATATAGACTGAGACAGAGCTGTTAGACCAGTCTAACTGGTGGCACAATTTTAAAACAAAAAAGAAATGAGGAAAGTGGAAACATGACACAGAAATACTTCTACTAAGCTACTATCAGCAGAGAACTGTTCTTTTATATTCAGAAAAGCTGTGTAGAGGAAAAAAAATAACTAAAATGTATCTGCTTTTCTGCTGTTATCTCGGGACGCTAGTCCCCAGGTAAATAGCGTTCGTCAGCTCCAGATTGTATCCAGCCTCTCACAGAGACTTCAGATGCCCCAACACCTGCGATGAGATGACTAAACGCCTGTTAAGAGACAACTCGACGCCTGTGAAAAGACTACTCAATGCCGGCGATATGTTATGCCCTAAATTAATACATGATTAACTAACTGTATTTTTTCTATGTACATTTCTCAAATGCACTTTCTGTAAAGCTGCTTTGAAACAATATGTATTGTGAAAAGCGCTATACAAATAAATTTGAATTGATTTGAATTGAACTCTTACTTGTCTTTCCAGTAGTAGTGACTCCATTGTCCACATAGATCTTCTATGCCTGCAACAGTGTGCTCCATTAACTGAAACAGAGTAATGGCACCAAGACTAAATAAACTGATTAAGATTATTCATTAAGTGTGTTTAAATTAAATGAATGAAACCACTGAAAACATACCCTTTTGTGAATCTCAACACTGATGGTCTCTTGGTTTCGATTTGTCTTACGGACATTCATTAATTTTAGAAGAGGTCTTATTGTAATTCCCTGCAAAGAGAAATAGTCTTTACTATACACTACCATTTAAAATTCTGCTGAGTTTTCTTACATTTATTCAGCAAGGATGCATTAAATTGATTAAAAGTAATTGATTATCTCACAATAATGTCATTTATATTGTTACAATTTTTTTAATATAAAAAAATGCAGTTCTTTTCAACTTTCTATTCATCAAAGAATCCTGAATAAATATATGATGTTTCCGCAAAAAAATATTATGCAGCATAATAAACTGTTTTCAACATTGATAATAATAAGAAATGTTTCTTGAGCAGCAAATCAGCATATTAGAATGAATTCTGAAGGATCATGTGACTTAAGACTGGAGTAATGATGTTACTCCACAGGAATTAATTGGCCTCAAAGCAGAGACTACAGTGCGCCTGCCCGGAGACCAGCAATGGTTCCCCTTTTACCATCGGCGAAAGCGAGGAGAAAACCAAAATGCCAGCCACATAGTCCGCTCCAGTGAGAGAAACTCCTGGGCTGTTCTGGTGATAAATGCCTGTGTCTGTTCCAGTGAGAGAAATTCTCGAGTACGTTCCATTGAGAGAAGTTCCCGAGTCCATTCCAGTGAGAGAAATTCCTGAGGCTGTTCCAGTGTGTGAGATTCCCGAGTCCGTTCCAGTGAGAAATCCCCCAGTCCGTTTCTGTGAGAGTGAAATTCCGGACCTAAGCACAGAGAGTTCAGCACTGACCATAATGGCTCTGGCATTGTGTCTCTGGGCCACACTCGTCCACTCCAGCCCAAGAGCACTTTCCAGTGTCTGCTCCAGCCCAAGAGTAGCTGCTGCATCTCGTGCCAACTTTCCTTTGTGCTGCAACCAGCGACCATGACAATTGCTGTTTTTACTGTATTTTTGGTCAAATAAAAGCAGGATTGGTGAGCATAAGAGAGCATAAGATTTTTAAAATATCTTGCCGACCCAAACATTTTAATTGTAGTGTAAATTTAAAAGCCATTTATGGATCACAAGGAGTATGCGTTTTCGACTACCTCTGGAAGTGGTCGAAAGTGGACAATCTCAACACATTTTAGACCCTGTTTACACCTTTATTTAGTGTCGTCCACTTGTGATCTGATCGACCAAAGCGCATAACGCTTAATATCAGGTGTAAACAGGGCATAGCCTAACATCATTGCAAGTGTTGAACAAATACATGAAGTTAACGCTGTACTTGTAAAGATGGTTCATAAAAAGGCTTGTTTAAACACAAGCACTTGTCAGCAAGACTCAGTTGCTATGGAAAGGTACCTGAATGAACACTGTGAAGATGATGACGACAATCGTGTCTGTGATGAATAGCTTCTTGCGACCAATGCTCTCAGGGAGAGTGAAGGCCAAGGCAAAGGACACGGCTCCTCTCAGCCCACCATAGGTTAAACCAAACTGATCTTTGAAGTTAAAAGGAATTGTACGGAAGGGGTTAATGATCTGCGTAAGGACCAGGATTCCTAAAAAAAAATGGAAATAAAATAACATTTGAGCCAGTAGCTCAAGTTATGTCATTTCAGATGACAATTTGCATTTGTTCCAGACATACTGTGTCTGTGCATTAGTGATGTGGAATTTACAGGTTACATCATTAGACCAGCACGTGGAAACAAGTGACCGTCTATATGATTCGTTGAATGATTCCTAAAGTTTGTAAGTTCAAAACACTGATTCATTCAGGAACAACACACAACTGTTTGATGCTCGAAGACATGACTATTCCCTCTGCTCTGATTGGATCTATTTCTGTTGGTGGAGATAAAATAGGCAAACTAACTGGCAACGGTGTCTACTGTACGTTACTTATATTTCTTGTTTGTTGAATTGTTTGTGAAAATTAATATCAAATAGCAATAATCGCAATCATGCTGGTGTGTCAACACAGCTGCTGCGATATGGTTTAATTGTAACCGATGACAATAAGAAAACGACTATTAAAAACTTCCTAATAATTTGAGAATTTGTTATAATTCACAAATGATCTCCCATACCCAGGCCTCTCCAAAGCAGAGCAAATAGCAGAGTAAAGAGTATGTAGCCCCAGTTCCACTCGTGCTCTGTTGTTATGGTAACAACACCCAGGAAGAAAAAGATCAGAGTTTCTGACACACTTCCGAGCATCTTAATGACATGGCGAATAGTGGTGCAGGAATGCTGGGATACATTCTCCTCCACGTAATACTTCATAGTCAAAGCACAGGTTACAATTCTGTAGAAACAGGAGCACAACATTCAGGAAAATTAATGTTATTTTCAGATATCTGGAAGCAAGCTTTTACTCAGCTGACAGACAGGGAATGTTTTCTGAACTTTCCTACTGTTCTTCCAAGGTTCTCTCAAAGTTAGGAACAAACGTCCTTACAGTAACATCAATAGAATGTTTGTTCAAAGTTATCTGGTCTTTAATAATGTTCCCAAAACATTAGCACAAAAACATTATCTATACAAAGTTCATGGAAACATTTTAGTAGGATGCTAGTCAAACATTTTTAAATTACCTGTTTTTGAATGTTCAGAGAAATTCAAAAGTAACAATCCCATAATGTTTCTCTAATCCCATAAACTTTCTTTAAAGCATTTAAAAAACTTGATGTTTTGAACAGTCAGATAACGTTCAGAATTAATGTTTTATAACTTAATGGTAACGTTAGCAAAATGCACTTAGAACATTTTTGTTAGCTGGGTAAGGACCCCTTACTTACGCCATGATGCTGGAGATGGCAAAGAGCTCAGCTAAGAGGTAGGCCAGGTAACTGTACAGGAAGATGATTAGAGGCTCGATCTCTCTCACTTTTCCAGTAAAGCGTGTGGTGAAGGCAGCCACAAAGCCGAACAGAAGGCCGAAAAACACACCACCCAAACCTACCACAAAAAAACTACCTATGTCCAGAAAAACTTCTCCAGCTTCAACCTCAGGCATCACTGCTACATGATTGAAAAGATTATACAGCACCTGGAAAAAAAAAAAAACAGTGAGAACTTCCCTGAAGTAGGGGACGGAGACGTTACATCAACTGACTGACGCATTGGGATCTCGCCTGAGAGTCCAATCACCTTCGAGTTGTAAGAAAACAAGCCAATGTATATTGGCAAGTGAGATTGGCACGGCAAGCCACTCCCCGTACATACGGGTATATAAGGCAACCTGCAACTCACTCATTCAAGTTTGCACTGTGGATCTGAGACAGCAGTTCCCTATCAGTTAGTCAAGTTCGAAGTTATGTCAGAACTGACAGATGCATTGGGATCCCTATAGAAAGCGTCACAACCACTGCCACTTCCCAGCGCCCCGTGAAAGTCACATAGACCTCTGTACCTGGTGAGATGGAAAGACATAACTTTCCAAGGGGATGATCATTACCTGCTGTTCCTTTGTTTTACCCTTATACAGCCCTGACTGGTTGGATAACACTAGGGAAGCGTGCCTTATTCAGATGGAAAGGGACACTACAGAGACCACATCCTGCCCATAGGGAGGTAACATGTGGAAATACACATATGGACTGACCAGTGGAGCAGTGCTACATATGGAAAATCCCTGCGGTAGGTCCTGCCTAGACAGGGATAGAACCATTACCAATGCAGAGATGGGGCAGTGAGTGTGGGATCTGCCCAGGGAAAGACATGGGTTTACTGACAGGGAAACAGTACCATGGAAGAATAGACATATGGGATTACCAAGAGGGAATCATAATATATGGGGCATCTAGCCCAGTGAATTCATGAATTCAGGCAGTTCAGCACCGACTGGGCACACTCGTTTGTGAGACCAACTCCATACCGAGAAAAGAGATACTCTGCGAATGCCCACTTCCCGTAGGGGGGCAAGGGCAGCCTCTGTGACTTTCGTGAAGACGTGGGTCAACAGGGACAGCTCAAAGGAAAGGACTGAGTACTGAAATGCCTGACCCTCGGACGCAAAGCATAGAAACGGTCTGTGTCGAGGTAAAATCGAGACAAAAAGGCGACGGGCAGGCGGAGGGGCAGCATCTTGTGTTTGATCACCGCCGTCTGCTTCTGTACTGCCAGTCTGGGAGATGGGGGAGTCGAGAAAAGCGAACTTGGTCGGCCTCCTTCATCTAAGCCAGGTTCAGCCAGAGATGACTTTCCTGGACCACTAGAGTGGATATCGTCTGACCGAGGGCCCGCGCTGTGATTTTCGTTGCCATTTGCAGTTCCTGTCATCAACGCCGGTTTAGAATGACTCTCCTGCAGCTTCTTTAGCGCTTTGGCCTGGTGTACTTGCTTGGCGGCAAGAGCGGCCGAGAACTTATAGGCCTTGGATGGGCGGCGCGGGTGATTCACCCAGGTAGCAGCACTTTGCGGGCATAAATGCACCACAATTGCACGCTCCACCTGAGGAATCTCCTTGTAACGCTTGGCTGCCCCACCGTCAAGGGTACTGAGAGCAGAGGAAGCAGTGAAGCAGCTTCTGGCAGTAAAAGACTTCCACGACTTGGTGACCTCCTCATACACCTCTGGGAAGAAAGGAACCAAGCAGATACCAATCATCCAGTCACGAATGTTTGGGACCTATTGGAGGTGGCCTGGGGGATGCGTGGCAGATAACTCTGGATCTGATTCGAATTGCGCTCCCCGATGGGGGCAGCACAGGCGAGTCTTCATCCCCAGAGGACTCATGCCCGCTCTCCGATGCAGCTATCGACATCCAGGAGAGGGACATCACCCCCATGAGGAAGACCAGCAGCCTCACCCGGAAACTCCACAGCCTTCGATGGGGTGGAGGAGTGGGAGGCCCGTTGGAACTGGCCCGGCGGGAGAGCTCCCACTATAAATATCAGATCACCCTGAGTATTACCTGAAGTGGTCCTCGGCGGTGCAGAGAAACCAGAACGAGGAATAACAGAGGGGACTCCACATTTTTCAAGGTATTGGAGTCTCAATCTCAACATTGCAATGGCCATGTTCATGGTCATGATCTTCATCAACGAATGCTGCCTCAGCGTGCTTACGGCCCAGACACGTGAGGCAGTGATAGTGGCTGTCAGACGGGGCCAGGAAACAACCGCATCCAGAAACACACAGGTAGAATGCCATCTTGAAAAAGACACAACGTCACCCATGCTTGCTCTTTTAGGGAAAACTGCTCTTTTAATAGTTGAAGCGTCCAGTGATGAAACGTTAGTAGACTATGGAGTGCCGCAAGGATCGGTGTTAGGCCCTCTGCTATTCTCAATATATATGCTGCCACTTGGTAATATTATAAGAAAACATGGAATTAATTTCCACTGCTATGCTGATGACACTCAATTATATATTTCATCACGACCAGATGAAAACACTAACCTATCTAAATTGACAGAATGTCTTAAAGATATAAAATGCTGGATGACGTGTAATTTCCTGCTATTAAATCCAGATAAAACGGAGGTATTACTTATTGGTCCAAAAACCTACCCACAAAATCTCTTACAATACAACTTTAATTTAGAAGGATGTCCTGTTACCTTATCCACCACAGTAAAAGACCTGGGTGTTATACTAGACCGCAACTTGTCTTTCGAAAATCATATTTCATATGTTACAAGAACTGCCTTTTTCCACCTTAGAAACATTGCTAAATTACGTAACATGCTATCTGTTTCTGATGCAGAAAAGTTAGTTCATGCATTCATGACCTCGAGACTAGATTACTGTTAGCTTTATTAGCTGGTTGTCCTGCATCTTCAATAAACAAGTTACAGTTAGTGCAAAATGCAGCCGCTAGAGTTCTTACTAGGTCAAGAAAATATGATCATATAACACCGATTTTATCATCTCTGCACTGGTTACCTATTAAGTTCCGTATCAATTACAAAGTACTACTACTGACCTATAAAGCCCTAAATGGTTTAGCTCCTGTGTATTTAATGGACCTTCTATCGCCCTACAATCCATCGCGTTCTTTAAGATCCCTAAATTCGAGGCTTCTGGTCATTCCTAGGATATCTAAGTCCACTAAAGGAGGGAGGGCGTTCTCACATTTAGCTCCTAAACTCTGGAATAGCCTTCCTGATACTGTTCGTTGCTCAGACTCGCTCTCCCAGTTCAAAACTAGATTAAAGACGCATCTCTTCAGCCAAGCATTCACATAATGCTTACCTTTTATACCACTGTTGAATCAGATCGAATGCATTAATATTATGAACAGCAGCTACGCTAATTATTTCCCATCTGCTTTTCTGCTGTTATCTCGGGACGCTAGTCCCGAGGTAAATAGCGTTCGTCAGCTCCAGTTTGTATCCAGCCTCTCACGGAGACTTCTGATGCCCCAACGCCTGCGATGAGACAACTCGACGCCTGTGAAGAGACGACTCAACGCCGGCGATATGTTATGCCCTAAATTAATACATGATGATTAACTAACTATATTCTTCTATGTACATTTCTGAAATGCACTTTCTGTAAAGCTGCTTTGAAACAATATGTATTGTGAAAAGCGCTATACAAATACATTTGAATTAAATTGAATTGAATGAAATCGCTGCACTTACCTGTGCAAGTTTGCTCTTTAACTGCGAGCACCGCTGAATGCGCCATCTCTCCAACTCAGAACTGCTTCCCGCTCTTGTTAGCTCACACGATAGATGATTTACAGGGCGTAAGTGTCTGGCTCCGCTCCGAAGCGAAAGCTTTAATGAGTGAGTTGCACGCTGCCTTATATACAGGTATGTACAGGGAGTGGCTTGCCATGCAAATCTCACTCGCCAATGTACATTAGCTTGTTTTATTAACACTCGAAGGTGATTGGGCTCTAAGGCGGGATCCCAATGCGTCAGTCAGTTCTGATGTAATGTCGAACTTGACTGACTGATAGGGAACTACTGACACGTACGTACATAATACACAATTGATGCACAAATACAACACTTTCAGAAGGATTTTTTCCAACTGATGAATGATAAAAACATTTAAAGCCAATCAGAATCCAGTTTCGAAACTACAGCACAAGCTTATAATAAACATAATGTGGGTTGGCAATGGCATGGATGCTAAATAATTATTGTTTAGTTATCTTTATAGTTATTGTTCTAGGTGTGAACATGCTTTAAGTATACAGCTTCAAAACATACTTGATAAGTACAAATTCCTTAAAGGGGTCATATAATGGTACATGCACTTTTACAAGTTGATTGTACTGAAATGTGTGTTGGCAGTGCCTATACACAACCATCATGTAATGATAAAAATCCATCCAGTGTTTTTGTTTTAATCTCCTTATATGTTTTCCCCTGCCTCAAATCGAGCCGTTCAACCGTGTGACGTCACACGGTCGGACGCCCCTCCCACGATTGTTGATTGACAGCAGCGTTTCAACACAGACCCGCCCTCGCTCGTGAGCGAGCTGTCAATCATAGTCCGTGCGGACCGGCGCGGTCATTGTTGATATGCTGGAGCACTGTCTGTCTATGAGCAGAATGGAGTCTAAGCGAAGTGGTGTTCTAATCTTGGGTGTAATAACGAACACAAGTCATTTTGATGTTCCTAAATTCGAACCGCTGAAGACGCAGTGGCTGAGTTTTGTTTACGATGGGAATATTCCCCACGAGCAACGTCAATGCGTTCATGTTTGCGCGAATCATTTCTCACCAGACTGCTTTATAAACGAGGAGGGTCAGTATAAAGCTGGTTTTGCTAAGAAGCTGCTCCTGCAGTGGCGGCTTGTCCATAGGGGCTTGTCCATTAAATATTTACTATGTTTTTCAATACGTTTCATGGGCGAGGGACGCCGGACACATGGGTGTCTATGTGAGTACACAAATTCTCGGGCAGCATGTGACCTGAAGCTGGTCTCTGATTGGTTTCTTAAAGATCCTCCTCGGGGCGCAAGTCGTTGCGTCCCTGGCCAATCATAATTGGATACATGTTATTTTATCCAATCTGATCATTCAACTGTCATTCAACTGTACGCGGCGGGAAATAACCTTGCTTGCTACTAGTCTGATCACTTTTTATTACGCAATGGCAGCAGTTAATCCAAATTCTGTTATTTATTTTACAAAAAAATCCTTTCTCAAGACTTTCGCTTGAAGAAAAAACAAAGATTAAGGATCTCGGACCGGAACAACCAGATTTACACATCCAGCAGCAGGCAAGTGACAGAGGACGAAGCTACAAACGGAGCTTTACCCGCGCTTGTTACGAGAAACGGAGCTGGCTGACTGGATGTGATGTTAGCAATGCCCTGTTTTGTTTTCCCTGTCTTCTTTTTCAAAGTGTCGGCACTGAAGTTTTATGGACAACTACGGGGGTAAGCGACCTCAAACATCTATCTGACAAATGCAAACGTCATGAAAGTAGCCGCAGCCATCTTAAGAATAGCGTGAAATTAAAGTTTTTGGGCAAAGTAAGCATTGCGGAACAACTAGATGAAGGCTACAGGATTGGCATTAGGAGGCACAACGAAGAGGTGACAAAAAATCGACACATACTGTCCAGGATAATAGACTGTGTAAAGTTTTGTGGAGCATTTGAGTTGGCTTTACGTGGTCATGATGAGAGTGAGAGCTCAGATAACCCTGGTATATTTCGCGGATTGGTGGATTTTGTGGCCTCTCCTGGTAAATTTCTCATGGTATCAATCTTCTAAATATCTTCCTTTCTGTTCAGCAGAAGAAATTAATTCATACAGGTGAGTATATGATGACAGGCTACTACCTTACATTTATATATTGTTTAATTATCTCTATAGGTCTGTGACACAATCCTGGTACACACTAGGGAGCGTTTCTCCTTCACAGACCACCTTGTCTGTGCCACCTTGTTGCAGGGGGACAGGTTTGACGAGTACAAGGATACATTTCCTGACGATGCATTGAGCAGCACCATCAGAGCGTACCCGATGCTCAATGGAAGCAAGCTCAAGACAGAGCTCAGTCTTATCTACAGCAAGCAAGAGTTCTGTGCCTGCCGTGGTGCTGTGGACCTATTCCAGCTGTTTATGGAGAATAATCTCGAAGAAGTCTTTTCCGAAACTGTGACTCTCCTAAAAGTTATCATAACCACACCCATGACCACGGCTGAAGCTGAGAGGTGCTTTTCAACCTTGAAAAGAATTAAAACCTTTCTCAGAAACACCATGACCCAGGAGAGGCTGAATGCACTGGCATTGCTGTCCATGGAAAAGAGACTTGTCACAGCGATGACTGACTTTAATCAGAGAGTAATTGAGAAATTTGCTGGGCAGAAAGAGAGAAGAGCTAAATTTATGTTCAAGTAGGAAAGATGCTTTTTGGTACTGATTTGTTGATCTGAAATGTATATAAAGAAGAGCATTGTTTTATGTTCAAGTAGGAAACATGCTTTTTGTTGGTCTGAAATGCACAGACCCTTTCGTCGGAGATAACGAGAATTCACTTAAGAGACCTACAGACCCTTTCCAAAAAATTAGAATATCATGGAAAAGTTAATTTTTTCAGGAATTCAACTTAAAATGTGAAACTAATATATTATATAGGTTCATTGCTTGCAAAGTGAGAGATTTCAAGCCTTTATTTGTTATAAGTTTGATGATTATGGCTTACAGCTTATGAAACCCACAAAATCTAAATGTCATAAAGCTTTTCTGCTGAAGGAAGCATGAAGTGCTCTAATGTCCTGGAAGTCCAGAGTCAATGCAGCCGTCTACCAGGACATTTAGAGCACTTCATGCTTCCTTCAGCAGAAAAGCTTTATGAAGATGCTTTATGAAGATGAAGATGATTTTCAGCAGGATTTTCACCTGCCCACACTGCCAAAATAACCAAAACCTGGTTCAATGACCATGGGATTACTGTGTAACTACTACAGTGTGATTTCATGTAATATTCTAATTTTCAAAAATTGATTTCGTGGGTTCCATAAGCTGTAAGCCATTATGTAAGCCATAATCATCAAAATTATAACAAATCAAGGCTTAAAATATCTCACTTTGCAAGCAATGAGCCTTTTTTATAAAATTAGTTTCACATTTTAAGTTGAATTCCTAAAATAATTGAACTTTTCCATGATATTCAAATTTTTGGAAAGGGACTGTATATAAAGGAGAGCAGCAACATTATGTTCAAGTAGGAAACATGCTTTTTGTTTCTACTTTGTTGGTCTGAAATGTAAATAAAAAGAGATCAAAATAGCTTTTTTGTTTCTGCTTTGTGTTTACACTCAGGGTACATTACGGCATGTATTCTATGTAACGTAACGACGTTCTCAATATAATTCATAATCCCACGTTTATAATGAACAACGCGTTATGGTTATTGTGTTATTAAAGACTGTGTACGCAGAGGGGCGGAGTCAGCTAAGCTCATTATTATTTAAAGGTATATGCACTGAAACAGCGTGCTGAAAACAGAGCTGTTTTTGACCAGGTAAAATTAGTGTTTTCTTAAAATACTAATGAGAATTTTTAATAAAAGTATATTACAAAGTTTTCATTTAGACCCCAAAGATTCATATTAACTTGTACAAAAATGGCATTATATGACCCCTTTAAAATAATAAATACTTACAGTAAAAAAGTACAATTAATCAAATACTTTGCATCCCTGGTAATTGTAGCACATAGTATTATAAAATCACACAGAATTTTGTTGTTTGTTTGTTTGCTTGTTTCAGAGCATTCCAGTGTCAAGGAGAAGCCAAAACACAGCTCTGATTTTTTTTTTTTCTGAATTTGAGATTCACAAAAACGTCTCTCTAACTATTCTAGCTATTACTATTCTTTTCCTCCTTGCTATTCCAGTTAAAATATAATAAAAAGTAAGACATTTAATTGTGCCTAAATAGTTGTTTTATGTTTGACATAAAAAAGAAAGGTGAGATTAAATTCATAGCTTCTAAAGCTGATTGTGTTTATCATGATGTTTAAGCCTGTATCAAATGACCGAGCAGTTACGCTGGCTTGTGTTGAGTTTTGACTTCAGATAATCTGTTACTGATGAAAGATTTGAAAGGAGACCAGCATATTTATTTTGAAACAAACTGTGATACTTTTTGATGAATTACATAACTCTGGATCTCTGCCCGCTTTTACACAGGCACAACATCTTAAAAACAGTCATTGATTAGAGAATATTTATGACTGATGTGCCAAATAAAAGCATGTTTAAAGCACATTTCCCATTGAGAGTATGGCAGTGTATTGCTCAGAAGTATGTTTTATTCTTAGTCCCAAATCCCTTTCGCTGACTCACACTTCATTTGGTTTTGTATGTCAAGATTGCACACATCACTTACCACAGTGACAGCATCATTGAACAGGCACTCTCCAAATACAACAATATAAAGCTGCTCGTGGATACTGATGTCCTCAAATACAGTGAGCACAGCAACCGGTTCCACTGTTGAGATGATCGAGGCGAAGAGGAGGTTCTCCTGCAGGTTAATGTCCTGTACACCAAAAGCCTCGATCTGGCAGATGGCAAACAGGGAGATGCCAATGCCAATGGAATTCCACAAGGTGCCGACAACAGCAAACCACAGCACCGTGCCAAAATTCTCAAAGAAAGGCCGAGTGGGCATGAAGTAGCTTGAGTCTAGAACAATGAGTGGCAACATGTAAAGGAAAAAGGCATTGGAGGTAAGCACTGCCGGGGGCTCCTCATTCACCGAGTGCATGATTCCCCCCACTATGAGACCAGTGGAGATCAGCAAACAGGATTCTGGCACCCAGACCGTGATCTTATGGTAGACATGGAATCCTATTTAGAAAAAAACAAAACATATACATAACAGTTAGTTCTGGTCCTCAAATCTGATTGGCTGAGAGGCCTTCCAGGAAGGCTGATATTTCAACAGAATCGCTGGGAATGTTTACCGTTTCACTCATCTTGTCGGAATCCATTGATGAAGAAAGTAGTTCCAAAAACAATAGATTTTTTTAAGACACACTGTGGTTGTTTCTTTTATATTTACCGTCGATCTGTTGTTTCCCTTTATAAAAATAAGTATACATCAAGTTCATTTTATTACAAATACTTAAGTAAAGTTCAAGTATACTTTAAGTATACTGTATCCAATGTACTAGTGGTGTACTTGTAAGTGTACTATTTTAATACTGCTTGGGACTAAATGCCCCCGTTTAGTGTATGAAAGTAAACTTTTAAGTAAATGTAACAGTAGTAAACTTTGAGTACACAACTATGTGTTTTTTTTTGTACTGCAACTGTACAACAATTGAACTTATATCTATACTGATATAGGCAAATACTTTTAGCACATTTTTTAGTTTATGAAAGTACACTTTGAAGTATACTCTCAGTAAACTAGTTTAGTTTAATACTGCAAGAATACGTTTTCGGTAACACTTTATTTTAAGGTGCTTGTAATAAGCAGTAATTAACAGTTAATAAGACACTTATAAGACCTTATAAGATGCATATAAGATGCATATAAGCATTAACTAATGATAATAAATAAATTAAATTAAATAATAAATTTCTCAAGTATCAATACATTGCACTTTTAGAACAGCCGAACAAACATAAATGGTAACACAAACTCCCAGGCCCTTAAAAATTGACCTTCCCAAGAGGGAGTAGTTTCCCTGATCTCTTCAGGGCCTGGACCTTTAATTAACCCTTATATGAAGTAGTTAATGCTTATATGCATCGTATATGCATCTTATAAGGTCTTATAAGTGTCTTATAAGGTCTTATAAGTGTCTTATTAACTGTTAATTACTGCTTATTACAAGCACCTTAAAATAAAGTGTTACCAAGTTTTCTTTAAGTGAACTTAACAACATACAGTACTCAGTTTAGTTTATATATTATGTCAGCACTTTTAGTATACTACTGTGTTCCCATTTAGTTAATTTTTATTCTTGAATAACCTTTAACTGTACTTTAATATTTGAAGTAATCTATGTACACTGCATTGGACTACACACAAATTCAGATACTCAGTATAGGAACAAATCTATTTTCTTTATAAATCAATATTTTGAAACAATGTAAGTTTATAAGAAAGTATGTAAAACTGTGTGAAAAAAAAATATTTAATAGGCTACTCAAACAAAAGAGTACAATTACAAGCCAAGTACCTAATTATACTTTCAAGTATATCTTGATCAAAAGATTAAAGTGTAGGCCAAATATACTTAAACTTTTCTGTCAGTATATACTTAAGTGTAAATTTAAGTGTATTTCTGAGAAGTACACAAAAAGTATACAAAGTAAACTTTCTTATTTTTAGTTTAAAAGTAGTAATAGCACACTATTACACTATGTACACACTAACACACTATGAAAACACCTCTTTTTTGTAAGGGATATAAGAGATCATAAGGCTCTATATCAGCACGGCTGTGATTATACCCAAACATGTAAAAGTGAGTCAGAGAAATTCATTCATGCATTAACTCTGGGAAATTAAAATAGTTATAATGGAAAATGATTGTAAGTAGGCTACCTTAATCAGAGGGGACCATGGTAATTGATATGCAAGTCTCATAAATATAAACCTACGGTATGTTCACTTCATGAAGTACATTTTTAATCTTATTATCTTACATTTTAATTTAACACAATAAAGTTACCATTCTGACTATTACATATGAAAAAAATAAAAATATTGTAGTGAGAAATGTTGCTAGTAACACCCGGCATAGATACTATTGTTTAACAAATGCTAGGCTACATATTTATAGGATACTGGTAAAACTGGAATAGATTTGGTACTTAACAGTCATTTAAAAATAAATAAACAAATAAAACCAAGCTACTAACATCAAAAAGACTCTAGTTAGTTTAAAAGTAGCATATATTAAACCAGCTTTCCATAGAATGTGTGATTGCTCACCTATTTTGGCAAAGGAAGCAAGCAGCACCCATAAAGTAATCTCAAACGGGATCTGGATACGGGGGTAATTCAGTACAAACATCGTGTGGGTTGTTTTGCCCGGGTCGGGATCAGCATCAGTCTCAAGTTTAGATGGAGAGGTAGTCGGTCTATAAGCAACATTGCCGTTTGCTCCATATTCTGATACAAAAATTACGCACAAAATCAAAAAGGTAAGATGCGTCGTCCTTACATCAAATTTAAGCACCATATTTTATCCGATTATATCCCTATGCCAGAAAGTTGACATAAAAGTAGCCCTAGCATACCGTAAATATTTTAAAATATAAAAAGTAAATGTTAAAATCGTTTACATTCCTACAAAGTCCCTTCATATAAGCCTATAGCCTAAACGTCCATATTTCTTTGGTAAGTCATAGCGATCGTCGTTTGCGTGTGATGATCCGCACTGTCTCGACTGGAATTTGTCTCTATCTCTTGCAGGTGTGTGTGTGGTCAGATCAGATGAGGGCCGGTCGAGGACAAATGCCACTCCTGATTTGTCTGCCTAGGACACTTGCCTTTGAAATGGTTTCGCTTCCTTTATAGTTCTCTGAAAACATTTTTTAATAGAGATAACCTGTTCCCAAATGCCACAAAAAAACACTTCGAAGTAAAACCAGTTTTTCAAGCGTAGGCTATTGTGTTCACAGTTAGTCATTGTATCTCAAATGCAAACATGTTGTCATGTTTCCGCCAAAACAGTAGCTAGGCTAACTAGGCTACAGTTATTAAATTAAATGATGTTTTATTTAACAAGGTTCGGGAGGAGCAGGTGCAGATAATTAACCCAATCAGCACAAGTGGAGATTAATCAGTAATCAACTCAGGACAAGATAAATAACAGCAGAACCCACTTTTGTTCCTTGACAGTTTATCGGCATCCCACCTCCACCCCATCTCCTCACTTTTAGTTCCATCTCTAGTTCCATCTACTCTTACCAACGGGGGGAGTACTCTGGGTTCAGGCAGAAATTCCGCGCTCGGAGCCCTCCACCCGGACAGCACGCCAAGTACGCATAACCTTTACCATAATAATTATATGTAGATGTGAACTCGTGAAACTGTATTATTTGTGAAAGAAAGCCTCTTATATTGTATTTAAACACTGTAAAAAAATCTACTTGATCAATAAGTTTTGACAACATATGTTTTTACTTTGCTTTTACTCATCAAAATAAGTTAACTGGGGTCCTTCATTTAACAGTCACACTCAGGACCTTCAGGACCAAATGGTCCGGGAGGGTGGGATTAATATTAAAAAAAATCATCTTTTTTTTTTTTTACTTGTTTTTTATAATAATTTTTCTTTTCTTTTTTGGTGTTTTGAGATAATTTTATGATTTATAAATAATATTTATGCAATGATTATGACCCATTTTTTTTCCTATTGAATATAATAGAATTTATATATATATATATATATATATATATATATATATATATATATATATATATTTTTTTTTTTTTTTTTTAAAGCTGTATTTCATTTTAGAGTCAATCCTAGGCCTCATGAAAGCTATTTTTGAAATGAGATGGATGCCATCTGGTGGACACACTGAGCATTTTAAAAATTCAAAACAGATATATGTAATCTGAATTTATTTGTGTGTGTGTGTGTGTGTGTGTGTGTGGATGTGTCTGTTTTGCACTCTTGATGTTTTATAGATTCACCCCTTCACTGTTGTGTACTTTTTTTCTGGATCGTGGCTGATTTGTAGATTGTACGTACAAAAAAACTCTGTATTGTCACATTTTTGCCAATTTCCCATTCATTTCCTATGGGGGACCATTTGGTCCTGAAGGTCCTGAGTGTGACTATTTTTTTAACAACCACTTAGACTATTCAAATCCTGTCGCCAATTTTTTTGTTTTTGGGTGTTCATATACCAAGTACCAACAAAGTCACCAAATTTCGGACCATTCCGATGAAGCTATGATCTTTTTACATTTTTTTATTTAAACGCTTCGGGACCATTTGGTCCGAAGGACCCCAGAGGGTTAGCTATTTTCAACTTTTTATAAGGTACAAGAATAAACTCGTTTTTTAAGTCAGTTTAATGTAATTTAAGTTGAAATGACTTAAAGTTGATTGTGCTTAAAAATGTAATTCAGCAACTTTTTTATACAGTTTATGCTAATTAAATTACAGAATATAGTCTGTCTGAAAGTGGTCCAGTGCAAAGAGTCAAACGAGCGAAACATTATTTGTTTCACAAACACTAAAACACATTTCACCCCCTTTTAGCTAATAAACTGTCAAATACATTATGGGATAATAATGATTTTACTGCATGTATGGCAGGTATGGCAGCATATTTGTTGGAAAAAAAAAGGTTTTTGAATTTAGTATTTTTTCATGTCATTAAATTTTTTAGAGCATTTTTTTAATTTTTTCATGTCATTACATTTTTTTAGAGCATATGAAACAATAGATATAACATAACACACACACACATATATATATGTGTGTGTGTGTTATGTTATATCTATTGTTTCATATGCTCTAAAAAAATGTAATGACATGAAAAAATACTAAATTCAAAAACCTTTTTATATATATATATATATATATATATATATATATATATATATATATTTGATTCATATGCTATGCTATGTCCTAGTCCTCTGTAGTGGACAGGAGGACTCAGTTGTTAAAAAAAATAAAAAAAATACGACAGGAAATTTGTCTGGGAAAAAACAATGGGGTTTCTTTTCATTCACCATTCAAATGTAAGTTTCAGGTTTTTTTTATCCAAACTTTGTATAAAGGCATTGCATGTCTCACCTATGTTATAAAATATATAATGGAATTAATTGATATACCATTTTACTTTATGCAATATGTGAGTAAAATTGCCATAATGTGTTCTTGGGGCAACATGTAATGAAAAAAGAAGATTTATGATGGGAGTAATGATTGGCAACATTTTCATAATAATATTTCATATGAATATTGATATATAATAATTTATTTCCCTATTCACTTGTTGTGTCTCCCAAAATGTCTGATACAGATGACATGTATGACATCAATGTTATTTCATTGCCTGTTTCATTTCTCATTTCCCAACTTCTCAGTACTGGTGTTGTTCCTCTGGAATTAAAAACTGCTGCCGTCACCCCGGTCCTAAATAAACCTGGCCTTGACCCCTCTGACATGGCCAACTACAGAGACCAATCTTGAATTTTCCATTTCTGTCAAAGCTGCTTGAGAAAGTAGTTGCTGCTCAACTTAAAACGTATGTGTCATTTCATAACCTCTTTGAATGTTTTCAATCTGGCTTTCCACTAGCCTGGGAAAACCCAGACAACTTCCGGCAAATTTAGATTTGCTCTGAAAGTTAGTCTGGCAAAGAGCTCATTCAAGCTCATTTCCAATCCGCCGAAATCGAGGCACCAATCAGAAACGTTGGGGCGGGCTTTACATGATGACGACAGCGCTGGGATTTTGAAGCAGATTTTGTAGCCTACATTACAAAGATGGATGCCGCTGTCGAACATCACTCGTTCGAATCAGCTATCGCGTCTGTTTTAAGCGATTTGAACGTTTCCCTTTTGTTAAAAACCGAGCAAAGAACAACACTCGGAGATGTCTCCTTCATCGCTCTGATTGGTTTTAGGTCTATCCGCGACGTCCGTTGGTGACGCCCCTCTGGAAATGATTTGTCTATGACGCTTTGCCAGACCATAACTCAGTTACAACTGAGAATGGTCTGGTTTTAACCTTCCACAGCACTGAGACAGCATTTCTTAAGGTTGTAAATTATCTCCTTATGGCCATTGACTCAGGCTCCATCTGCATTCTAATTCTTTTAGACATTTCCTCTGCATTTGACACAATCTCTCATAGTATTCTCATCTCACGACTCTCTGCTCTTGGGATTTCTGGCACTGTCCTATCCTGGTTACTTCCTACCTGTCTGACCGCCAGCATTACATCTCTATCCGCCAGACTGTCCACTACTGCCCCTGTCTCACACGGTGTTCCCCAGGGTTCTGTTCTTGGGCCTCTTCTCTTCGTCATCTACATGCCTCCACTAGGTCACATTATCCGTCATCATGGCTTTAACTTACATTGCTAAGCAGACGACACAAAACTTTACATCCGTTCTCAACGTAATGCTCCTCTCCCCACTAATTCCATATCAGCTTGTATTGATGCTAAATGATTGGATGACCAGTAATTTTCTCAAACTCAACACTGATAAAACAAGATCTACTTCTTGTTGGTTCACCTCAAACTACATCCCATGTCTGTATTGACAATGTTAATATTATTGGTATCTTGGTTCAACCTTCTACCACGGTTAAAAACCTCAGCATAATCTTTGGATCCTCTCTCTCCTTCCTTCCTCATTTTTCCTCACTCACTAAGTCTGCCTTCTTTCACCTACATAGTATTGCACGCTTGTGTCCGTTTTTAAATACCAACGATTCTGAGACCCTAGTTCACGCTTTCATCACTTCACGGCTTAACTACTGTAATTCTCTTTTCTATGGTTTACCCAATACATTAATAAATAAGATCCAATATGTTCAAAACTCTCACATATACAAATAAATCTTCCCACATTACTCCTATCCTACGCAGACTCCATTGGCTACCCGTTCACTTTCGTATTCAATACACTCCTTATCACATTCAAAGCACTCCATGGTCTTTTTAAGGACCAAGTAGAAGTTGTTGTCATGGTGAAACCTCCATATTTGGTAGGCCCACTGAAAAGCCCTGAATGAGCTCTTTACAGGACATCCAGACTTAAAACTGTGACATGTATGTTGTCAGAGAAATTCACTAAAATATAATGTCCACTACAGTGGACAAAAGTCTATTCCATGGGTCCCAGGAGGATAATGTAAATTCCACCTCATAATCCAGCTGCAGTTTATCTTCTATGAGAACTGCTATGCTGTAACCACTAGATGGGTGTCAAGGTCTTCCGACAACGCGCTCGTTTAGGTCTGTATATTATCCATCGAAAACATTTACATGAAGCGTTCTTTAAATACATGTGGCCGAAAAAACAATTAATTATACACTATTTCCACATCTTATAAAGAAATCTTCTTTTGGCTCACCGTATTTGTGATGTGAACGAGGCGGGGTTTTTAGGGCAACATCTCTGACGTAATGCGCGGTGACGTCAAGGCAGGGCGAGTCCACAATGCAGAGCAAGTGAACGAATTGCGGAGATCGCCGTGAATCAAAACACTGATCTGCATACTACCTTAAAATCATGGAGCATATCGGTGACTGAAACGTAAGTAATCACTTCTGCCTTTTTTTAAAGCTGGTATGTTTGCAGTCCGTGTGTAGTAGTGGTTAAACCAAACGCTTGGAAGGAACAAATAAAGAAAAGGGAATCAATTGTCTTTTGATATGCACAAAGTCCGTAATATGGCAGAAATTGGGCGAGGGTGATATTAGCAGCTCGTGTGGTGTATTTTGAAATGTTTTATTATAAAGCGTATTATAAGGCATATAACGGAGGACGCAATCGTTCATTCAGTCGTCATCACTCTTTATTATTCCGTCATGAGAGCTGTTCAAATGTCTAACGTTAACGTTAGATGTTGTCAGCTTTTGCTGCTGCAGAAGCTTTACGTTGTTTCAATGTGCTCTAATAATGTTCCTGGAGGTAAAAGAATCAGATGGGTCATACACTGTCTGTTGACATTAGGTGCCTTGGACACATTATGGATGGAACCTAGACCCAATGAATTACTATTTCCATAAAATTCCGGAATTATTTTCTTGACGTTCGGTTTTCGACTTCTGTCAGTGCAGAGGGAACACTGTACTAAAATACTCGGACAACGTTCTCTATACAGCGGTGACACAACATCATTATTAAAAACTACAACACGACACATACAGGCAGCGTACATTCCCGTTACTGAAGAATGACTCGGTTGAGCCGGTTCTCCGTAGTGAATCAAAACAAACAGCGCGACGAGTGTTTTACGGTTCATAAACGAATTATTCATTTGAGTCGGTTCTCCTTACTGAATCAAAACAAATAGCGCTACCAGTGTTGTATGATTCCTAAACGAATGAGTCGTTTGTGTCGGTTCTTCTTAGTGAATCAAAACAAACAGCGCGAACAGTTTTGTACGATTCCTAAGCGAATGACTTGTTTGAGTAGTTCTTTTTTTAAGCAATTATTCAATCATTCTTTTTGAATCAGTAACGCTTCTGAATCAGTCAGAACTGTTCTGAATACATCTGACTTACTTACTTAACCGTATAACTTACTACTAGAGTTCTGTAATCAGTGGTATTTTATAAAAATGAATAAATGAAATATGTTGCCTCTATTTTGTTTAAGTATTTGAATTTTATATTTAGGAACAATTTCAAATACATTTATGCCAGCTGTAAAATATCTGAGAAAAGATTCGGTGTACACACTTTTTGCAAGAATTGTATTAGGCTACATTTATTTCTGATTTGTAATATGAAATCTAAAATGATCTTATCACTTAGCCCTTGATCCCTAGAAAACACAAGGTTTACGTAGAGAGCCAGACCCCAGTTAGAGGTCACATAACTGGTTGCAGAATCTTTGATAGCTCTGATGACTTGATTTGATGTCAACCCTACGTCACAATCAGAAAGAATGAAAATAAAAAGATGTGTGATAGTGTCACCTTTTATTTTAAAGTCCGTATAGTTTTTTTTTTTTTCCCAACGTAAATACAAGGGCCTCGGGGCTGTCTCCTTCTTCCTCAACTTTTTCTAGTTGTTCCTTATATATAGGATTGTCTTTTTCAATTGTGACCTGCTCTTGTTGTGTATAAAGGTTCACTGTTCTTTAATATTCTCAGTACCTGGATTAATGGCACTATTGATTGGTGGATATGCCAAAGACTCACATGCTGTACTTATGCAACAGTTCACAAAGCCTTCCAGTGAGAGATCTGGGTTACTAATGCAAAGATTAGTTTCTCATTCCTATACTTAGTGAATTCACTAGTGAGTTATTTATTTTGCTGTGTGAAAAGGATGTAAATTTATGATTGATCTGGGAAGAAGAATTTAAGAAAAAAAACTGTTAATGAAAAGCCTGGCGCTTTGTTTTTGTTCTACGTTTGGCTTGATAAATGATCAGGCTAATAGTTTATTTCCCCATTTCAAAAAAAAAAAAAAAAAAAAAAAAAAAATCCAAGATGTACTACTCACTGACCTTTACAGAGACAACTAATGTTGTGTAGGTTTATAACAAATTATCCTTTTTTTCTGTCTGACCAGTGTCACAATGGTCCATGAACCTAAAGTTCATGGATATTCTATTGGCAAGACAATTTCTGCCAATGACAGGTGTTTTACTGTTATTCTGCCAATTCATGCATGAAACACAAATACAGAACATATGTTACTGTATGTCTCCTGTCTCCCCTTCTGCACTTGTTATGGTTTATTCACACCATTCAGCTGTGTGCCAAGAGACAGACAGTGACGGATTGGCTGCTCATTTTTAAGAGAAGCAGATTTTTCCTCAGCCAGATGAAATGATGTAAGGTCTAGAGATGAAAGCAGAGCATGGATAATCATGTTTTCACCCAGACGATGACTCATCACTAAAAGGAAATGGCTGTTCATTATGATTGGCCAATGATGTCAAACATGGCACAGAAGGTTGGGGCTCAAATTTCAGATTTAAATTTTAGTCTGTTCAATATATAATATTCAGAGTTCAGAAGACTTATGCATAAGAAATATGAACTAATGGTGTTTTGGAGCTTGACATTTCACTATGGCCATGTTCAGACTGCCAGAAAAAATCAGATTTTTGCATATCCAGATTTTATCCAGATGGGTTTCTGAAGGTCTGGATAGCAAAAAAAAAAAACTAATTAAATAATTTTTTCCCCCCAAATCTGATTCAAACCACATTATGGAGGTGGTTTGAAATGCGATTCCAATCAGATCTTTACAGGTGCATCTCAGTCTGGACGCTCTGGCTGCTCAAATTGGATTTCAAACTGTCTTTTGCGTCACTCTTAATGATGTTTTTATTAACAAAGTTCGGGAGGAGCACGTTCAGATAATTAACATGGGTGGAGAGCACTCAACAATCAATGATGAGAGGTGTATATATAGACTCAGCAGTCTCACCTCAATCCATTGACAGTTTAGCAGCACCCCTCCACCGCCCCTTCTCCACACTTCTAGTCCTAACTACTTACATGGGGGGGGAGTACTCTGGGTTCGGCCCGAACTCCGAGCTCGGAGCCCTCCCCCCGGACAGCACGCCAAATACGCATTAAACTTTCCCCCCTCTAATTGTATAAGTGTGAACTCGTGAAACGTGGCACACAACAAGTGTCAACACTGGTGGTTAAAATGGTATGTCCAGAGATTTTGGCATTTTCCTGTGCGATGGAGATCTGTACCTTATTTGGAGAGTGAGAGGATGCACCTCCATTTTTCCTGCATCCGTTTTGAAAGCCTTGTCACATGCGTGGGTATTCCTACGTCATTACCAAAGCAACCCATGCAGATAGATTGGTTATGTCTGGACACACACATCTTATTTGATCATTTGCAATTGCAATTATTAGTGCTGACATTCTGCCTGAAAAGGCCTGAATCTGATTTGAGAAAAAAAATCTGATTTGCCTGCAGTCTGGACATTGCCTAAGAAATCAAGCATAGCGTCAGTTCTGGCAGGTCACGTTAGTCAAGCTCGCATCAGCTGACTCTCAGCTGATCCACGTCTACCTATAGGAATACAACGCCTATCACTGTATACATATATAAGCTCCTTCAGTATTATCAGCAGCTATCACGTTTCTCAGGAGCAATTACCCTCCTCCATCCCCAGCTCCTCCTCTCGTCAGTCAGTATTTGGCATTCAGAATAAATTCTCGAATTATGTTGTACTTTAAAATCTTGAATGAATGATATCTGCAATACATTCATGTTGGTTCTGTTCTGTTTACCCTAAGGGGGGTTACTGCTGCTCTCCCTGCTCTTATCCATGCTAGGCTGCATGGATGCGCAGGGAGTTCTTGCCCAGAACAGAACCATACCGCCAATCCAAACTGTATGCTAATTGTCAATCGTATTTGACGATAGTGGTCCTGACAGAACTGTTTTTGTATGGCAAAGAGCTGTGTAAAGATTCTTCAAAATATATATTTTTTTTTTCGTGCCCCATGTAAATAACAAAAGCATACAGGTTTGAATTGGCGATTAGATATTAACAGAATTTTCATTTTGGATGAAATATTCCTATTAAAAGATCCCATGATTTTTAAATGATTTTAAAAGTCTCATATGATCTGCGTTTATTTGATCAAACATACAGTAAAAACAGTTATGTTGTGAAATATTATTACAATTTAAAATATCTGTTTCTATAATAGCGTATTTTGAAATGTAATTTATTCCTGTGATGGCAAAGCTGAATTTTCAGCACCATTACTCCAGTCTTCAGTGTCACATGATCCTTCAGAAATCATTCTAATATGCTGATTTGCCGCTCAAGAAACTTTTCAAATTATTATCAGTGTTGAAAACAGTTTCATGCACCTGTGCTGAATAAAAAAAAAAAATTCAAACAAACAAACAAAAAACTTTTGAACAGTAATGTAGCCTACTCCTGGATTAGTTTATTTATACACAGACACATGCACATAAAGTGCTGTTTATTCAGAAACATTCTCACGCATGGATTAATTTCCTCTATATGTTTATCATGCACATAAGAACTGTGCATACATAGAAACAAGGCTCAGTTCTTGGCTTATTTTTATAATTAATTTTTTCTTTTACAAATAATTCTGTGGCATGGTTTCACATTACATTGCTATGTCAATGATACACACATCAATATTTGTATAGTCCAGGGCAGAATTTCCACTCAAAGTGTAAATGTCTGCTAGCTTTTTCTAAATTAACCCTGACTAAATGTTAGTAGGCCTCAAGATTCATCTCACTCTAATCTGTGTTTAGACTTGAAAGATGTATAAAAATGCCTTCACTGACTGCACCGCCTCCTCTGTAGTATTGCCTGCCTCTGTTCCTCTTTTAGTTTCAGAGATGCCGAAACTGTTTTCCATACCATAATTACATCCCACCTACATTAGATCTCTTTTCATTGTTTTTTTCCCCCCCCCAGAGTCCCAGTTGACATTTTAGATTTCAAGAAGGTGCTCATGAGTGCTATGTTTGCGGCAACTTTGCACCACGTTGTTGTCAAGCCCGCACTGCATGAAACCTCTGCATTATGAACCTAGAAACAGCACTGCAACA